CCCCACCCCCGCCGTATAAGCGGTGCCCTACTGTATCCTGTTATGTTCAAAATTAAATCTCTTCCAATTTGCAATCACTTCACACAAACTTGATTGCCGATGTCTTTATTTTCAGCAACATGTTTTGATTAAAATCTGATAATTATCAAATTTGACACGAAAATTTCATCACAAGAGTCACCGAACTATTAACAAAAATAATATTAACACTGTAACATACACCTGCTTATTTATGTCAATGTTTATCAAGATAAATAAGTGACCACATGATATATACATATGAAATGATTCTACATAACATTTTAATAGTTCTACAGATTTAAAACAGTGTTAATATTACTTGATACCTGTATTCTGATGTTTACAATGTCACCCATATAACGACGTATAAACACACAGATTTCCTGCAGTTATGAGGTTCAAGACAGCATATATAAATTAAAGAATTTACACTTGCATTAAAAATTAATTACCTTTAAAAGATCATCAGCAGTGGGCCTTTGACTAGGATCCTTGGTAAGACACTTCGCAATGAAGTCATTGAAGTCCCTCGACCACTTGGAGGGCTGATCCAGTTTTGGAGGGTCTGACTTCTGAATCTTTAGTAGAACACGCATTGGAGACATTTCATGATTTGGAGGTTCCATTTGAGCAAATTCAATTAAGGTTATTCCAAGTGACCAAATGTCAACCTGAAAAAAATATATATATATATAGATTTAGCAGTATATGTCAAGACTAGGAGGCCAAAGGCCTTCTGACAAATACCAACTACAATCCAAACAAACACGAGGATATTACATAAACTCAGAAGGCAACCACACAGTATAAATTCTAATATGTTACCTTGAAATCATATGGATTATCCCGAAATGTTTCACATAAAACAACTTCTGGAGCCATCCAATAAGGTGTCCCAATGAATGTATCGTGCTTCTGCAACGTAAATTTATTTTTTGCAGACACACCAAAGTCAGCTGAAAAAAAAAAATATTACAGCCAAATCAGATGTATGATGGGTAAATAAGTATAAAACCAATTCCTCAATACATAATATTATTAAAGCAGCATTCTTTTTGGGTTTTTTTTATTTTATTATTATTATTAAGTGTTCTGTCTTACGACAGGTCCATTGCTCTGCCCAAACAGAGCTCTCCAGTTGTCCCTATTCTCGGCTTCTCGCTTTAATTCCTGGAACGTCATCTTCTTTCCTTGTTTAAGGTCGTCGGTTAGCTGTATCAATCTTCTTCCTAGTCCTCTCTTTCCTTCAACCTGGCCTTCGATGATATCACTCATTAATCCATTCCTTCTCATAATATGTCCCAAGGATTATTTGCTGACAATAAATAGCATCACTTTGAATACGTAAGACCACTACAGGTCAGTCATAAAACTGTTGTAGTGCTAGTAGGACACACATTAATATGGTGTGTGCACTTTTCTGCTGATGCTAAGAATGAGGCAGTGGGCCATTCTGAGACTTCTGCAGACAAAAATTAGTGAGTCTAAAAAGTGCCGCTAATACAAGCCACCCAAGTAACCTGCACATCAGCCAGTGAATGTAACCAGCGAAGCAAATCCATGCATTCCACGGTCCATGTGCCTCTCCATTTTCATACAAGCACAAATCAGCTGACAAATGAAACCAGCTGAAGATTGCTTCACATCATCTAGCAAGGTATCACAACAGAGACGATTTTCTGAACTGTATAATCACTGAATATAAAAATGGATGCATAACTATCCACCTGAAAGTAAATACCAGGGCCACGACAAGAAGCACACAGATGCGCCACTTTGGTGGGGGGGGGGAGCCTCAATGTTACAGCAATGTAGCAACTTACCATAACCCCATCCGAGGCAGGATGATTTTATGAAATCATAGGTAGAAACTGAAAACATCAATACAATGTTTCTGTCGAAATCCATCCCTTTATTCCGAGTGTTTCAGCGCCCTTCGTAGATGAACAGTATAATCTTAATATCATGTTACAGTACAAATTACTGAAGATGTGTGTGTATAAAATTATGCAAGGGTATGATGAGGTTGTGACATATTCCAAAATATTCCAGAACCTGCCAATGTAATCCATCAGACTGTCTGCCTCTTTACCATTACGCTACTGAGTAAGTACGCTGTTGGAGAGCATTATCTCTTACCTAATTTGACTCCTCCAGTCATAGTGAGAAGAACGTTGCCAGCTTTGAGGTCTCGGTGGATAACTTTGCTTTGATGCAGGAACTCAAGGCCCATGCACATCTGCTGGCATACAAAGGCAATCTGGGGCTCTGTCAACGGTTTCTCAAGCTCCACCATTATAGAATCTAGGGCACCACCATCACAGTATTCAATCAGCATCTGGAAACACAAACATAATATACTAAGACGTGCTGCAGACACACAGAAATATACATTTGACAGCGTTGCCACTTGTTCTTTAGTATTATTCCTTCAGTAGCACAGTCTATTATGGTTCAAGGAACACCCTATCAGCAAACCTGAAAACCCATCACCATAGAATGCTCTACTATGGTCCCAAACAAAGCTCCTTATGACATAAATCCCTTGACAAGATCAACACAGGATGCCCAACTGAATGTGGGACCGTCAAAATGCAATGCTTGGTTACCAGCTCAAATGACTACTTGCATACACAAAATACACAAAAATTAAATAAAATACTGCATGTATATATGGACACTTTGAGGATACAAAAGCACATCTTACCCAAAGTTTGCCATCGTTGAAGAAAGCTTCATGAAGATCAACTATATTTGGGTGCTTGCATTCAGAAAGAATATCTATTTCTATCATGAAATCTGAGAGATCGTCTTCTCCTTCAAGGGCACACATCTTAGCTGCTGCAAAATGTCCATTCTGAAGATTTTGAGCCTGTAAAGTTCTCATGAAGATTAGGCATTATTTTATAATCTACAGAGCAGTAATGAAAAAGTACTACAAAACCAAGCCTACCTCAGAAATGGATAATGGCATTCTTAAATAACACATGAATATTTGTTACAAAACACTTTACACACCATTAATAATGTTTCTGGGTAGGTTTACTCTGAAAAGGCCAAACTATTCCTTGTAATGTTACAAAATAATCATATGCTTACCTTATACACCTTTCCAAATGCACCATCTCCCAGTTCACCAACCATTTCCCAGAAATCCTCAGGATTACAGTCCATCTTAATATTATTGAACACCTTCTTTTTCTTTGCTTCATTGGCTCCACCCAAGTGGAGAACCTTCTTTAAGTTACTTAGGAATGACATTTTCAAGAACTTCACTTAATATTTCACTATTATAAAAGGAACCATAAATCACCATGTTCTAGTACCTAAACACATCTGATGTAGCAGATACATATTGCGAGTACTAAACTGGTCCTGCCCCAAACCACAAAATGTGGATAATGCCATTGTTACTTCACGTGACAACAGAAATAAGTTTAACAAATTTCTCCAACAAAAATATATGTAAAAAAATCCTTTGGGGCCATGTATAATACATGCTTTAATTACACTGGTACCAAAAAAGCAACAAATAGAAAGTAAACATGTCACATTTTCATCACATTCAGACCCAGAAGAAACTAAAATTTATCTTCTTTGGAGCAACAAATAGAAAGTAAAGATGTCACATTTTCATCACATTCAGACCAAGAAGAAACTAAAATTTATCTTCTTTGGCAAATATCAACCTTGATTTTCATCCTCCTGAAACAAACAGAATTAACCATGTCACTTTACTGACTTCCACCCACCAAAGGCATGGAACTTAGATGGCTGCATATTCACTTTTATCTCTCAACTTGAGGCATAACAAACACATGGGTCCGCAGTGCTCATAGAGGAAGGAAAACACTCCACTTTATGTGACAAAATTAAATGTTAACATTGCTATCGGCCAGGCGAATTTTAACAACAATTAAATCTTGCTGGTCTTAACGACATTAGTACTACTTGTAAGCATGCTAAAATGTCACTCCATAAGCTTCACACATAAATTACAAAGAATCATCAGTTATTGCATTAACAATGACATAACATTCAACGTAAATTTCAGAAAAAAATCATCTAATAATAAGTTCTCAGATGAATCAGTAGAGTCCACATCTTTAAAACCCTAATAAAATATAATTCTTTTCTCTATAAGATTTTGGAACTTAATGAAATATGTTTTGTTTCAAACAATAACAAAGTTACTTCAACCTGAAACACTGGTAACAATGTATTGGTAAACATGAGTACATACATGAGACAACTATCCTCTGTCACCTACCTCCGGTAGACCTCATAAGTAGATATGATACACAACAGCACCCTCATCCCCAATCAACAATCAGTCACTGGTTGACCAATAATTTAAATGCCCTTTATACATAACATTTTAGCATCGAAGGTAACATCAATATTTCATTACTATTCAGTTCAGAATCATCTTCCCCAGTTTTACCACATTCTCCTACAGTAGGAAAAGCGCAATAAAAAGTCCCTTGAAAATGCATCAACATCAAAAAAGACTATTTGGAAATGACAGAAATAAATCAAAATTTCATTTATGAAGAAATTCATATAAGATAAATTTACTATTCAGTTCAGAATCATCTTCCCATCTGCTTTTAAAATTTATAGAGTAAACTATATAAAGTACAGTAAAATAAAGCTGTTCCACTATATGCTATGGATGTGCTTGGGATGAGAAGAACTCCTACTCATTCATAACCTTGGCATTAGATGGGCATAAGTGGTCAGTATCATTTGCCAGCAACACTTTGCCCATCACACTTATTGGACGGGAGACATGATAGGCCCCAGAGCTGATCTGGATGCAGAGGTTAGAATACAAATAATTTCCTCCTGCTAGGAATTGAAGTCTGGTCATCTAGCCCATAGCCAGACACTATGACTGGGCTACACTGGCTCTTAAATTATAAAAATCCATGCCATAATTCTGCATTCTGTTTTGTATGGGTGTGAAATCTGGTATTTCAAATTAAGAGAACTTAGATTGAAGGTGCCAAGATTGGTGGCATCTCAGTCGATGTTAATGGACTAACTGCAGACAGCAACTTAAATTTTGATGTCAATACTTATGATGACAGTAATGGCAAGTGTGTTTACAAACGCTGTAGTTCAAAGACAAATCAGCTAATGTTTTATTAACAGTTATCTTTGAGTCAGGCAGATTTACTATCCAGACATACTCGGGTTCAAACTAGGGCATGACAGCAAATGTTTCACATATATAAAGATAAAATATAATTTGTAAAGAAATTATTAAAAATGTAGTACTCCAACCAACAATGATTTTAAACCATCAACATTTAAAAAAATATTTATTAATATGAACTTGTGTGACACAAAAACACAAACATGGAAACTGAAGCAGTATTAATTAAACTTGTAAACTATTATTTGCACATTACAATGCAAGAATGGACAAACAGGAGAAAAACTTCAAAACCTTGGTGATGTTTTGCCCATCTCTGAATCAGAGAAAGGTGATTACCAATGTCCCCAGAGGTAAAAAATTAGATTTTAAGAACCAAGCATCCAAAATCTGTTTTGATATAGTAAGTGCTATGCATGACACATCAAATATAGATTTCATTCCGATAATGCCAATTCCACAAGGATGTAAGCATGACATGCAAAGCTATGTATAATACGAGGGGCAGACATTCCACTGTCCACTATTCCTTACACATTAAGGCACACCTAATGTTTTGGCTTTGGAAGCTTAAAATCAGATGATCACACACTTCTGAAATAGCATAACCCAAATTTACCACAAGGCATTTCATATGTCAATATAAATGTAACATATGCAACTGGATTATACTTAAATACACATGCCTGAGAAATTAAATATACTTCTCCCTCATGAACAGTACACATTAGCTCATAAAGATTATAAAATCTGTTTCCAAAAAACTAAACACCTCTGTTGAAAAATCAAATGATCACCACTATCTTAACCTTGACATATTAATGTCATGTGTCATCTGCTTACAACATTCAAATTAACGACCTTAGCATCAATGCTATCAAAAATCTCACATACAATTTTGAACCTACTTAAGGCACACCGAAACTGATACATGACGGAAAATGTCAATGGAGTCGTTTACAAAAATGAAATGCCTTGATTAGTTTTAAAAGTTAAAAATTCTGATGGCAAGTCTGGGTTATTAAAGGTCGTTTGACAATGGTATATTTAATACTACCAACTACATACAATATATTTATATGAGCATAAGTTTACTGATAGCTATTTATTAACAAATTATGATAATAATCTTTCAACAGTGAAAGGTGTCTAATCACGTTAATGCTATGGTACGTGAAACTTACTTTCACGTGAAGAAGATCCTTTGCTCATCTTCAGGAGACTGTAGATATTGCCACGACAAAGTCTGCTGCACTTCGCCATTAGAATACAAATTAAATTAATTGCTTCTACAAATACACATTTCTTCACTATCGTTTCGGCCGACATGCATACGAAACACCATCTTCACCACGCCTGGAAATGACGTCATCTTAACACGGCACAATTATCAAGATGGCCAATTCCGATTTTTGTGACAATGTGAATTGATCTTGAGTAATGTTTGGTAACATGAAACAGAGGTGTTGATGTTCTGTACACAATTGTAAATTTTCAAGGTTACAAGACAATTTAATTGGCTCAGAATTCCACACCAATACATTAGAATCTAATATTCCATACTTTGCACACGAATGTTATAATTCCTGACTCACGGGATTACAACAGGTCAGCTGTGCATGGGGTGACTGATTATGTTGGATGCATAGTGTGTTTTCAACGCACATTCAACTTTCTTGGTGCTAAAGATCAAAAACAGTACATAAATCAAATATCTGCATTTATGGGGCTTCTAGAACATTCTTAATATTTTTGAGGCCTCTAAAATTGCCTAGCTCTGAGCTGTCGCTTAGGCAGTTTACACATATCCGGAACTGCGGATGAAGATAACTGAACGTAGTTGGTATTATCTTTGTATTGATAAATCAAGAGCATTGGCATACTTTAATCATCTGTGGCCAACAACGATCCTTGTAAACACTAAGTTTGTGTTACATGTTCCTCGTACATTCAGACTGTTAAAACTCCTATTCACATATTTGTCACTATGAGCACGTAGTGTGCGAAGTAATGTACCAGTAGCAAAATAAAATTGACTTGTCACTGTTTCCTTCACTTAGAAATAAAATAATTTGGTCTGCTTTTTCTACTACACTTTTATTATGGGTGACAGTTTCTGTACAGTAGACTAATCTCCACCCAGTTCTTCAATACCTGTTTGAATTCCTGGGGCTGCAGTATATCTCAGAAACATATCCATGTTGTGTCCCCAGTAGAGCAGATTACTTAGTTTCTTTGATAACTCCAATGAGCTGTCAGAGATATCATTAAGATATTTTTGATTATGTGGTATGTGGCCTGAAATTGTTAACCTGTGGGAGTGAGTTGAATTTTATAATTTCTTAACACCTCTCTGTGAAAGTACAGAGTGTAACAAAGTTATGAAGGAAATAAAGTACAATCTACAAACGTTTTTCTACACATGGGTGGAGTGGTGTGACAGTGGGGTCAGACCACTGCTAGCCATCAGCTGTTGTGCTGTGGTACAGAAGGTTTAGACTGCAATGCTTCAACTGACCCTACTGTCAGTTCCTCATATGCTCAAGGGCTCCAGAATGTCATTAAATACCACAATTAATTACTCTTATGACCTGATATACAGGCAAAAAATCTTGCAGCGTTTATACCACACTTTCCACTAAATTCTGGTTGTGTAATGGGATTCAGAGGATGACAATTCTTATAATGTAATAGTGATTGACATCATTTACACCTTTTTTAAAGTTCTTTATTCTTTCTATTATGTTTATTTTAATAATGTTCCATTTTCCTTCACAAGAGTCCTCTGAATGAACATCAAATTAAGCATGGAGAGAACCACACAGGTACTTCTGATTCTTGTGGTAAATCATTCACTCTGATGAGTGATGCGAAGATTCATCAAAGCACACAAAGTGGACAGCATCCATACGTATGCAATGTGTGTAATAAATCGTTCAGTTGGAGGAGTCATCTGAAGACACATCAGCTGATACACAATGGAGAGCATCCTTAATCCCGTCACATGTGGAGATGTTTTTCTGCTCTGAGATTCTAAATATAAATGTCAACTCATGCTTACCTAGTCTGTAAAAATTTGATCTTAAATTGGAGAAATGGTGAAAAAAGATACATTAAGACAAGGTGGTAAGAATTAACATCCCTAAGGCATGTCAGATTCATAAAACTGGAAACTGTAGTTTCATCTAAAGCAGTGTTTCACAACCTTCTTTCACCTGAGCCGACCTAGGCGGCTCTTATGTCCCGTGAGGTTAACGGGGGTGACGTCGGGACTGGGCGAGGGCCGACTGAACTAGCAGTGCCAGATTGATGCCATTCTTTTTTTTCTGTACCAGCGCGGGATATGAAGGGACAGTATTGGAGGGGTTGGAGTATCTTGCCTGATTCTCGCTAGTGAAAGTCATCGTTGTATGTCCTCTTCAGCGTTTTAGCATTAAGGTATTGTAGCTTGATCACTGAACAGTTCTACTGCTTGAAAGACAGGACAGTGTCCTTGATGACTCTGATTGCATCATACAGTTGATCTTCCGTGATGACAAGGGGTGGAGCCAGTCTGATTATGTCTCCATGTGTAGGCTTTGCCAACAGTCCATTTTCCATCAGCTTTACACATACTTTCCATGCATCAAACTCTGCAAAATGTTCAAGTTGTCATTTGTCAATTCTTCATGTATCCTTAATTATTTATTGCAGTGATTATTACAATTTTTAATGAGGAGTTCCATCACAGAATTTTCCAATGAAATGAAATCAAGAAGAATGAGGTTTTGTGGAGCCTGCTTATGGGAGAGGTTAGAAATACGTATGAAATTTTGGTTGGCAAGCCAGAAGACTAGGTATGGACTGGAATATCATATTAAAATTACTTTTAGAATAAGGTGAGAGGATGTGGATTGGATTCATGTGGCTCAGGATAGGGACCGACTACCAGAGTGACTATTAGCTTTTCAAGAAGGGCTCCACGTAGTTACTCCCTTTGTCATAAGAATGCGTAAAATGTAGAATTTGCATGATGTGACTATAAGGTGGAATAAATAGTGTAAAGTACAATTGTAATAAGAAGGATGTATTATTTGTCAGAATAATATAATTTCCAACTCCACGGTTAGCTCAGAAAAGAATGTCTCATCGATCTGTTTGGTTTTAACAAGCAGTGATGGCAGAGAAGGAAGTGGCTTCAGTAATCAGCAAGAGGGGAAAAGACTTTACATATTTCTTGTGGCTTCAAACTCACACATTGCTCTCAAATACAAAATGGGGTAAAACCATAGATACAGAAACATAAAATTGGGATTTCACTGTATTCAGCAACTTCTTTAGGGCCGTGCTCTTAATGAAGGAAAAGAGGAAGCAGGATAGTTTGTAAAATTTGTATGAACTTTAATGGAGAGCCAACAATACCTTTGTTAATGACAATTGCATTTAGTAGGCCTTTCCCTCTGACACAGGAAATGATATCGTGTGGCAGCTGAGAGAGTTCTGAGCGGAATATAGTGCCAAGCTTCTCTGCATTTTGTGCCAAATTTTCTTCTTCCAAAACTTTCAGAGCAGCTATTGCCACTTTGCTTCCAAGAGGATTGCCTCCATAGGTGGAGCCATGTTCTCCTGGCTTGATACATAACATCACCTCATCATTTGCCAGTACTGCTGACACCTAAAGAAAAAACACATATATTGTACGTTTTAAATTCACAATAGAGCTAACTGAGGCACGTTACACATATACCGCTTCTGTTTGTCACTTTTTGCTACTTCCGAGGCAGTGGAGATTACAGAAAATGGCAAGTTACAAACTTTTCCCTGCAAAGGCAGAGATAACCTGGAAGGGTCACATGACTCACCAACTCCGTGGTATAATACAGTCTTCCTTAAGCAGATTATAGTCATTCAGCTAATTAAGACATTTCCAGTTCTTACAGAATCTGAAAGTTCATCAGTCATCACAAGAGCCCATGACTCGGTCCTGTCCTAAGCCAGTTCACTGTCACCATTAATTATAAAAGACTTATGTTAATTTAATTCTTCTACATATGTATGTGTAATATAAATAACTCATAAAAGTGGTATACTCACAGGAAAAACCCCTCCAGATAATGCTTTGCCAAGAACTAAGATATCAGGTTGAACATTCTCATGATCGACCGCCAACATCTTCCCAGTGCGTCCGAGTCCAGTCTGTACCTCATCAGCTATCCATAACACCTGATACTTGCTGCAGAGTTCCCGAACCCCACGTAAATATCCATCGTCTGGCACGACTACACCTGCTTCTCCTTGGATGGGCTCAACCATGAAAGCACAGACTGTAGGGTCCTTTAGAGATTCCTATAATTTGGATTCATGGTCCTATTGTACAATGGTAGATTTTTACTCACCATTCCAGTTCTAAAAGCTGTCATACATAACTAACAGAAGTACAGAGAGGATTGGAAAGATGTCCTCTTAGGAATACACTGACATTTCAAAGGTTTTCTTCATATAACATCACGTAGGTCATCGTTGCACTAATGTTATCCCATGTCATTCTTGCATTGCTGAAAATGTGGCCGACAGACATGTTCAGGCCTTAATCATGTTCTTTTCTTATGTTAAAGAATGAAAAACACTTGAAAATCATCAGTATGCTTGTACTAGTATGAAGATTTCCGTCTTCTGGGTTGTTGCGCTGTGTAGTCTGGTCGAGTACTAGTATATTAGTATGCATACTGTTGGTAGTGGAACAATAGCAATAAGAACCTAAAATATACTACATCATATGCATGAGAACGTTTGTGTTTTGAGCGTTATTAAAAAGGTATACAGATTTGTATGGGAACTTCTAGGTGTAACTATTTAGACAGAACAACAAAACATTTTAGCAGAGTTTACAAAATCCTGGTGGGGATTGTCCCCACTACTCTGAATACAAGAACCACTCCTGATATTTGGTGATGGTCTACGAGTTACATAATCTGAATGGTAACAGGATATAACGACCGAGATATCTCATCATCTATAAAGTAAAGAAAGTTCCATCAAATAAACCAAGAAACAACTAATAACCATAATGAAAATGGCTGTCTTCTGGGATGAAGCACCATGTAATCTGGTAGATTCTGAGCTACGTTTCAGAGATGCTTATTGCTTTTATCACGGTGATGAATATGATGTGCACAAAAAGTTTGTGGTAGACGGAGTACAATGGACAAGACAGAGCCAGAAGACAGCTATTTTCATGCTTTATGGTATCACTCATGTCTCAGCCACCATACAATTTTACAAAGTAATAATAATATACGTATGAAAGAACAAAACTTGCATCTAAAGCATCGAGGTTATTGTAAGGTATGATGACAAAACCAGGCATGAATGGACCAAAACCTTCATAGCTGCTAGGATCAGTAGAACTGGAAACGGCGGCAAGTGTTCGACCCCAGAAGTTACCTTCAGCGAACACAATTTTTGCTTCATTCTTTGGTATCTTTTTCTTAGCATAACCCCATTTTCTGGCAAGCTTACACGCTGTCTCGCCACCTTCCACACCTGGAAAGAAGTTAACAGTTCTGTGAATAAATAAATTACTGAACACTAGCACGTAGGCTTAAATACACTATGAACGAAATAAATTCCAGAATTTCTAGCATGAATTATTTATTTACTGTTGTTCTCTCACCTCTACAAAAATGTTTGTATTGTTCTGTTTTATGAGTTCAATATGTGTTCCTCTTGTAATCCAGGTCTTGCCAGGCTCACATCAGCATTTATAGATAGATACTGGACTGAATTCTTGATTTTTATCTTTAATTTCCTCTAGAATGATTAGCTCTATTGAATAGGTGATGTCCATGACAGAACCCCAAAAGTAGACTGTGGCCAAGAAATAAACCCTAGCCCATATTCTTGGAAAATTACTGTCTGGACAATGGAAGTGTAAACAAGTGGCAAAGAAAATTTAAAAAGGTGGAAAGAACAATGTAGTTGGATTCATTGCTACACCTACAGCAACGAATAAATAATTGTTTGAAATTCCGTAATTTATTTTTGTCCGCAATGTATGCGCAACTGAATTTCGTTTATTCTCCAGCTGGACTAAAATTAATTATCTTAAAAGTCCAGTTTTGTAACATCTGGACTTTGTTAGGAATATTCCGTTTAGTTTCAAAAGTGCTTCGTTCTTGTGCTGTTCTGTTCCGTTAAATTTATATCACTGGTGGTTCTTACATCCTATGTTTAACCCAGCAGCTCTTCAGCTTTCTGACTCATATAAAAATTCTCTCGGCAAATTCATTCATTGATAATATGAACCCATACCCTACCTAGTGTTTCACTTAATCTTTATCACCACCTCAGTTTTGTTCATGAGATATATAATTTTATTTTAGCTTAACAGTGCGCAGAAATATAATTGGTTATTGGTTTAAATCAGTGTTTTATTTATAACAGTAAGAGCCAATTACTGAGAAATAGTTTCCATCTTTTGTAGAAAACAATTTAATTTTAACCTTAAAAAAGGAACACAAAGCTTAGTCCAAAAAAGTTAAAACACAGATTACCGGTAGATTATCTGCAAAATGTTTTAATACTAGTGGAACAAACACAATCAATTTTCTGAACTAATTAACTCCATGAAGCAGAGTCCTTGAGAAGCTGATAGTCACTCAGCTGACCAATAAATTCCTCATCTGTTTTGGAATCTGAAGTTTCATTATCATTCTCACATAAGCCTACTAGTGTGCCCTATTTTGGGCCAGATGAACCCATTTCAAATCCTCATGCCCTATATCAATTTTAATTAATTTTTAAATTGGTGGGGTGGGGGGGAGCCATGACATTGCAATTTTGAGGGCACTTATTACATAAATTCAGAGAGCACCACATCAAACAGCTTTAATTTCATTATGACGACAATATGATTTAAAAAATACAATTTTAATAACTGAAGTTGCTGGAGTGGTTCATAACGACTCTAAAAATGTATGTAGTATTTATCAAGAAGAATATTACCTGTATTCATAGGTAACACTTTGTCATAGCCAAACAAGCGGGTAATAAATTCCTCATACTCTCCAAGAACATCTGAATAGAAGGCACGAGATGTGAGGGTGAGCATTTCAACTTGTTGCTTCAAAGCGGACACAATCTTGGGATGACAGTGACCTTGGTTTACAGCTGAATATGCACTCAGAAAGTCATAGTATTTCTTTCCGTCTACATCCCACATGAATACACCTAAATAATAATAAAAAAAATAAATTTCAAATACAACAATAAAATAATTTTTTTATAATTTTAAACTTCATTTTATACATGTACGATCCAAGCAGAAACATCCAAAGACTTAGTTGGACATAATTATGTACCATTTGAACGGGATTCTGCGAAGCATGTAGCATACATAATATTGTAAATAAGAATGAAAAACAGTCTTTGAGAATCTAATAGTTGCTGAGCTATCCAAGAAATTCCACAACCTGTATGGATACTGGAGTTTCATTATTGTGTCGATAATGCACAGACTTTCTTGAGCCAGATGAATCCAGACCACATCTTCATGCACTATTTCTTCTAATAAATTTTAACATTATTCTCCCATTTACACCTAGGTCTTCCCAGTAGGCTTATTACTACAGTTTTGTAAATGCTCAAGAAAACATGACGGTTACTTTGTAGCCTTGTATAATAAATATCTGAACATCAACAAGGTGAGTTGGTTTTACAACCAAAATTGTTCATATTATATGCATATAATTTCTTGTAACTTGTACTTTATCAGAAGTACCATTTGAAATTCTCAGATAAATGCTAAATTTTATGAGTATGCTTCCAGAAGCTTGATTATACAAGTAAAATTGATAAGAGAGCAAAGACTGAAGATTATAACCTCTCTGCGAGATAAAGGTTGATAAATATAGAACAGATGGAAGTACATGAAAGCAATGAAGATGACCTATGATCTGGATGTCAGTCAGTATCAACCATACAAGAAAGTAAACAACTAATACCACTATTGTGCTGATAAGTAAAGTCATGGTACAGAAATCTGGTGTAACACAGGTCAGCACATAATCAGACTTGGTGCATTGTCCTTTGGTCATACCACTGTTTCCTATTATGACCATCTATAATATCACACAGCATTTCTTTTTTTAAATTTTCACTCATGTACTGAGTCACATTTGTAATACTTAAGGAATTTCTGGGAATAATATGATTAGTATCAAAAATGCAAGAACTTACAATATACTGAGTGAATTTAAGGTGTAACTAAACCTTGTTAGACAAATGAGTATCATGTGTACTAGAATTCAAGATTCATCTCCACAAATCACAACATCTAAATTTATTTCTTAACAATCTAGGATTCTTAAAAATCACTCAATTCAGTTTTAAGTTCAAAATCTGCAGCACACCTTGCCCACGACAAAGAGCTACGGGGAGAGGATGGTAATTATGGGCACCATACTTTTCTTCTCTATCAAACACTTCTTTTGAGGTTATGTCAGCAGAAGAATAGATCACTTCCTTTGGAGATGTTTTGAGACCTAAACAACAAATTCATGACAAAATTAAAACTTCCATGAATTTAATAAAGAAATGGTCAAATTATTTGTTCTGATTTTTTTTAAAGAATAAACCTTTATGTATTATTTCATAAACAACCAATGATAAAATATGCTACAAGAATATGGGGTCCATCTATGCAAAAGATTGATTCAGAAAATGAACAGCAATATTTTAGGTCGGACTGGAAAGAGCTGCAAAAAATCTTCAATGCACAATCTTGTAAATAAAAAGAAATCTCAAATACTGCAAACAAAACTCGAACTAAGATCTAATAAATGTGGTATGCATGCACCAACCAAAAAAACAAATGAATATTCAAACAAAATTACAATTTTTGTTCTACAAATGGTAATTATTTGTTCATATACTACAATTACCATAACAGAATTGTTGACAAGCAACATGTAGACGGACATGGGCGGCCACCACACGATTGCCGAGCCACTGCAGTCGAGAACTTAACATCTGTGCTAAGAGTTCTTGGAAAGGGAGCTGCAATTCAAACTTCAAATGCTTCATCACTGTATGTCTCCTCTTTGTTTACTTAATTATCATACAGGTTGAAAGATATTAAACATATGTTTACACATTCTATAAATATAATAAGCTTGTTTCATTTCTGATAGCTGTAACTCAGAAGCATCAGCTTCTTTAAGTATACCAACATGCTTATCATTGAATTCTATGTGAAAAAGTGTACAGTTATCAATAAGTAACAATAACAGCATGGTATCATGATTTGTGTACATTTCTTGCTAGCTGGAGTCTTGTCTGAGACTCTGCCAACACTTTCATTTTTAAAACTACACACCTGTGAGTTTCAAAGTAGTTTAAACTAATGTCTCATTCTGTACATTAGCATGTTTAAAAATGTTATGGATTGGAACAACATTTTTATATAAAGCAACACGAAATTCTGTCTTGTGAATTTCCTCTTTGTAAAAACAGGCTCGTCATATATCTTAATTTTCACGTGTAAATTACATTTTCTTATACATGTCGTCAAACACACATCACGACAAAAAGTCACTTACCATTGTAATGAGGTAGATGTTTAATACCACATATATTTATCATCAAGTTTCTTTCTTACGAAAGTTTGTTGGCCACAAAATTATACCCGATCGTATACAATGCCGATGGTCACTTTGACATCATACACTTATAACTTTGGCGTCAAGTTTTCTTTTTTTTGTAGTTGATTATTCCGTAATTTCTATGACAGATATTTCACGTTATGCTAATATTATTAATAATAGCCGTTTAGAGTTTGACATTGTGATCAGGCTTTTGTCAGGGTTCAATAGGAACAACTGTTTGCATAAGCAGATTAGTGGAAACTACCATCAGACACAAACGAAATAAAAAAATTGTTTACTGATATTCTTCGAAGGGCAATGCCATTGATATAAAACCTCCCCCTCCTTTCCAGCTACCAGTTTTCAAATCTACGCGCATTGGCCTAACTCAATTATTTCATTACAACAGCTTGTGTTGTGTGAGTTTCAAGTTGGCTCAAAGTGGTTCATTTAAAACAAAACCCAACAGCAATTACGTATTACGATACAAAAATTAAATCAGAAGCAGGCCCACCCGCTTGTAGTACTCCCCCGTGACACTAAGGTCCAGGTCACCCTTGTAATCGTAGTAGTTGCTGAAAACAACTGTGCAGGTTCGAACATGGCGTATTCACGAGCAGAAAGTGTGTTCGTTCTCGATTATTATTTCAAATCGAAATTGTTTCCTGATGTTCGCGTATCCTGACAAAGAAGTGACGAAAAAGACAAAAATATGCCGACTGGTAACATTTCGTAGCACATAGAAAGTGTTTAACAAGTTGTCACTGAGAGACAAAATGGCTGAAACTACGGCAGTAGCGATTTCAAGCAGTGTTATCAACTGTAACAATGGGATACAGCTGTGAAAATTCAATGTTGCCATCAGTTTATGTCAAGGGGTTCATGTGTAGTAATTAGGATTGCGTTTTAAATGGAATAACCTGTACTTATCATTTAGCACAAGGCCGATTTTGATGGAACATATATCCATACACGATTCTACTGCTCAGTTTACGATACGCGCTCTCAGGTCACGCGTATTTTTTTCAGACTTGCGTATGAACAAATACTCGTGTGTGTTTGATTCGTTCATAACGAGAAGTTAAAAAAATATATACCAAAAGCTTGTCATGTCTGTCCGCAAGTAAAAAGTCGAGAACCGGTAAACTGATTTTTATGAAATCTGATAGAAGGGAGTTTTACTCAAATTTGTTGACACGTCCAGTTTTGATTAAAATGTAAAATCACTGGAAATCTAAAGGCGTTATTAATTGCAAAACCTGTTTGCTCGCGAATGACACACGATGAAACCAAGTGTCACTAATTTATAATTTTTAATGGTCCAACTGAACGGAATTTAATGCTTACACTCCATGGTGCCAAGTCCTTCCTGAGAAGCTAACAGTCGCTCAGCCACTCAAGAAATTCCCAATATTTTATGGAATCCAAAGGTTCATCACCGTGTTCACAATAGCCCACCACTGGCCCCTACCTGAGCCAAATGAATCTAGTCCATACCACCCCATCCTATTTATCTTAAGATGCATTATCCTCCCACCTACGTCTAGGTCTTCCTATTGGTCTCTTTCCTTCTTGCTTACCCACCAAAACACTGCATGCATTAAGTATCTACACTGCGTGTCACTCCTTAGGTAGCTGTAAATTATACATAATTAAACAATGCGACTGCAATATTTTTAGTTTAAAAAATGTAACGTAGACAATTTTTTTAGTAATAATGTGTTCCAAAAATATTTCTAGTAGCGGAATTAATTATATTAATACAACTGCAGCACTAAAAACACTCGATTCCACTATAATTTTTATCTTAGGCCATTTGTAGACTTGTCCAACGTACCAGTCCGCGAGCTGCAGTGAACTTTACTCTATTATAAATTTTTGATGAATAAATATGATATTAATAACACGAGATATGTACAACTAGAAGCTTGTGCGTTAAGAAAATTTACTTCATGAGTTGTCCAGAACTCGAATGTTGTTATTTTTCACTTTTATAACAGGTCCACAACATTAGTGCGGTTATAAACGATGAAAGAAATACAAATTTTATTGAAGCTCCCTGAAAGGTATATTTATGTAAGCATATTTATAAAGATTTTCATAATTTGGACTGGACAGACTAAATAAACAATAAATACTAAAATGAAATACTAAATTACAGTGATTACCTGGTTGTGTACAATGTAGCAGAAACGAACTAGTGGTTCCACTTAAATCAACGATCCGAATGGTTGAACTGAATTGACAAACGTGCAGTCAGTAACGCGGTATAACTCCGTCTTAGCAGATGTTACAATGCACAAATTTTTAGAGCGCAATCTGTATGTAGCCGTTGAGAGTAGCATGACATTCACGTCACGATGACAGTGTATACGGCTTTAATTTGCTAAGAATGCGACTCGACACTGTTTCTTCTTGGCGGTTATGTTGTATATAATGATTTCACCAACTATCGTACTTTGTATAAAACAAAGGTCTAAATGCCGACTCCATTTCGAGGAATCGAATCAGCTATTTCAAAATTTGAGTCCTTTCAAACCAGACATTTGCGTCCTCGGACACTTACTTCAAATAGTTTTATTAGTAAGTAATAGTAAATAGATTGTGCTGCTAGTCACAAGCCTAGACATAAAATACACTACCTGGCAGTTTAATGGACTAAGTACACTCATGAAAACGTCAAGTTTGAGTACAAAATCACCAGAAATAGGGAGAATATAACCCGTGTTTGCATCCTGAATACAACATCGAACTGGTAGAAGATTCTCTGTTATTTTTACGATGTTCCTTTGTTCTATTCGCACTGAATCCAGGGGCAGACAGCGCTCCGTAATTTAAACTGCCAACTAAAATATCAAAGGTCAGGCCTTCAAATTCGTATAGGTTCAGGGTCTGTGTGAGTACCCAGTTTATCGACTATTTACTCTTTGAAGCCCGAGACTCCTCTAAATAATGCTCACAATTACAGCTGCTACCTGAAATAAAACACTTCTCCACTACAACGATCATCAGAGTTTATGAGTCATGACTTGCAGTTTCCAGTCTCATGCAGAGAACCTGCTATCCGAAATGAGAATTAACCGGGACTTTTCTCATACTTAGTAATTCTGCTCCGTACCGGTGGAGGTTCCAGAAACAGGCCACACTGAGGTTTCCCGTGGCAAAATGCCGCAACTGTAAGCCGAATTTAATTAAGCCACGACCACATCCTTCCACACCATATCCAACTCATTACTCACACACCAACACTCATCAACCTAGCCACTAGCAGCAGCGTCGTTAAATAAACCGCACACACAATGGACCGTGAAATAAACAAAAGAAAGGCCTTAAGTGTATCCTGAGAGGTCTGTAGTAAATGTGCAAGTGAATCCGTAGGTTTCCTGCGTGAAAGTCAAATTTTGCTGGTTTACAGTCCAGGACCCACTACTGCCTTTCCCACTGTCGCAATACCTCAAAATTGCCGTTGCTTGAGTACAAGAACAAGAACGAGCCATAAAAAGAAGGCTCATAACCATGTTCACCAATGGACCACATCCTGAGCCACATGAATTCACACTCAAACCTCTCACCTTCCTTCATTAAGATCCATCCACATGTAGATCTTCAAAGTGGTCTCTTCCTTTCAGGTTTCCTAAAAAACTTTGTTGTAACAGCATAAACCAAACACAAAAATAACAGACAAAAGGTCTTAGCATTCATTTATTGAAAGTGCATCTGTGTTACTGTAGATGTTACATCACTCCCACAAAGATACTAACACAACAAATATCGCATTGTATGTATAATCTCACACAATGGTTTTCAGCTTCTTTAATTACCTATTTTCTGCTGCGTACTTAACTATTTAAGTTGCCAACAACAACAAACAACGTCATATTTTAGGGTCTCAGAGTAGCAAGTATTAGACGACCATCTTCATGAATGTCACAACATGTAGTCTGGAAAAAGGTGGCAAGACTTTCACATTTGTTTGCTGCCTCTATCTTCAGGGCAGAGGCAGCAAACATCGACAAACTTCCATCAGACCACACGCCATAACATCCCAGAAGACAGTCATCTTCAACATGAAATAATGTTTGCGTTCAGCTGTCAGATAACTTATGTTCATCCATAGAGGATATGGACCCAAAATGACATACTATAAATAAAAATCAGTGTAACACATTAACTGTGACCTCTGAATGTACAACTACATGCTTTATGTACTATCTGGAGTATGAAGAAATGTCCGTTACATAAACAATTAATCTTCCTATGGGCATTCTTTAAAAATACATAAACAATACAAAATTCCAAGTCTTATATTCGGCCAAGGCCCCGGGTAGAATTAAGCACTTACATTTTTCTCATAAAGTATTAATACTATTGTGTTCACCAATAAAGATGACACAGAAAGTAATTTTATCAAGATTAAAAATATATTATGCACAGAGGAATATAACAATAAAAGAAGCACTGTCCTATTAATAACAAAGTAAAAACCAGTGGCGTCTCGCGAGTCTGAGCAGTGGTAGTGCTGCGCAAAGCGGAAAAATCAGAATAGTTTTTCAACACATAACAATACATCAGGAGAAAACCCATACCTGCTCGATGATGATTTTCTATTTCTAAGTCTGCAAGAGAATGGCCATGAGTTTTTACATCTCTTTTTTCAGTCAAAAACAATTTAGAAAAGGCAATTCGCTGTAACTATGATGCACTTCCTTTGCTCATTATCACTATCAGAGCAAAAATAGTCAGCACACAGAATTATTGAACACTCATTAACAAAAACCCCGAAACCAGTCTAAAACACGTGGTACCAGGCAAGTGTGTTTACTCTAAGCCGGATGCAGGGACTGCAGCTCCGATTCGCGCTGTAACAGTGAACTGCCCCTCACTCTACCTCATACTGCGCTCGCAACATTGGACCAGCCAGCCAGCAGCGCTGAAATCGTTGCAGCCCTATTTCTCTTTCGCACTCCTTACCCGCGGACTTATTGTCAGTTAAGCCGATTAGTGGATAATGACAACGTAAGGGGCAATATTAAAATAACGATGTAGAGGAAATAAACTGTTACAAATTATATAAACACAAACAATTATTTTTTCAATTTTTGAAAAATTATAGGGGGTGCTGCCCCTCTTATGGACGGGCCACCACTGGTAAAAACATATTCAAGTGATCAAGGACAAAGTATAGTAGAAGTTAACACCTTTATAATAACGTCTGAAAGCACTAAATTCAGCATTGTCAAATAAACATATTGACTGACAACGTTAAATACTCTGTACTATTAGTAATGTGTACCGAGTTCAAACACGAACCTTGTACATCGTTTAAACCGAAGTTGGCTCGGGAAGGAAGAAAAACAAAACAGCAATTAATATTACTTATGTCTTATTTTGAGTCTTCATTGGAAATCCTTCTTAATAAATTTATCACAGATCTCAGGCTGTGAATGTTGACAAGTTTTACTGAAATTCTTAGACCTGTTCGTTTCTACCATTTCCTCTTTTGTAAATTGTTACACCAATTCCAGGACATGTTCTTACACACACATCAGTTATGAATAAGATGACATTTGTTCAGAAACTCGAAGCAGAAATCACGTGATATGGATGCTGTGTATATAATTATGTCTCCACAGAGTACCCTGACAATGAAACGACGTATTACACACATGATAGAAAAAAAACACCCATACATACATTAATGATTCTTGAGATCACGCTGTTTAGCGCACATACACACACAGAAGCATGGACACTATCCATGTTACATCCTCTAATGTCTCTTCAGACGACCCTAGTGACTGAATGAACTGACACACACATCACAGGTTATGAATGTAATAAACGATGTTTCTTCAGACTGCTGCTCCGAGTGAATGATTTACTACACACGTCACAAGAATATGGACGCTCTAAACTGTGTATGACGTGATGTTTTTTCAGACTACTCTTGTCAGTGAATGATTTATTACAAACGTCACAAGAATATGGGCGCTCTCCACTGTGTATGACTTGATGTACTTTCAGATTGTTCTTCTGAGTGAATGATTTATTACACACGTCACACGAATATGGACGCTCTCCAGTGTGTATGACTTGATGGTGTTTCAGACTTCTCCTCCAAATAAATGACTTATCACACACGTCACAAGAATATGGACGCTCTCCACTGTGTATGACTTGATGTTCTTTCAGTCTTTTCTTCACAGTGAATGATTTATTACACACGTCACACGAATATGGACGCTCTCCACTGTGTATGACTTGATGTACTTTCAGACTCATCTTCAGACTGAATGATTTATTACACACGTCACACGAATATGGACGCTCTCCACTGTGTATGACTTGATGTACTTTCAGATAATTCTTCAGAGTGAATGACTTATTACATACATCACACGAATATGGACGCTCTCCACTGTGTATGACTTGATGTTCTTTCAGACTTCTCCTCCAAGTAAATGACTTATCACACACATCACACGAATATGGACGCTCTTTTTCTCAGACTACTCTTGTCAGTGAATGATTTATCACATACGTCACAAGAATATGGACGCTCTCCACTGTGTATGACTTGATGTACTTTCAGACTCATCTTCAGACTGAATGATTTATTACACACGTCACACGAATATGGACGCTCTCCACTGTGTATGACTTGATGTACTTTCAGACTGTCCTTCTGAGTGAATGATTTATTACACACGTTACACAAATATGGACGCTCATCACTAAGTACACATTTATGTATCTTCAAATTATAATTATGTCGGAACGACTTATTGCACACATTACAGGTGAATGGACACTCTCCACTATGCATGCGTTGATGTCTCTTTAGTTCACTTGGATAAGAGAATGTTTTACTGCATACACCACAAGAATTGGGATGTCCCCCACCTTGCTTAAGTTCATGTACATTCTGAGGACCCGCTGAAGAAAAGAGAAAATAATTATCGACAAACTTTTCTTTAAAAAGAAGAAGAATGAGTTTGAAAGCAACATGATAGGTTTTTCTACCAAATCCCATTACCTGACCCACATTTAGTGGAAGGTGTGCAAGAATTTGAAGTCTACATCACAGTTTACAACAGTAAATTCACTGAGGTATGTGACATAAACTTCAGCCCCCAATTTAACATCATACTCAAACAATAAACGCCAAGACACTTAGTTATCTTGGTACTTACTCTGTACCAGGTTGGATCTGAATTCCATAGTAAACACATTTTTTTACACAGTGGGATAGCTACGTGTAAATTCACAGTCACTGTCAGAAATTACAGTGCCACCCAAAAATCTAAAATCCCAGAAAGAATGTAAACTGCGAGTGGAGATTTCACTCCAATTCACTTTTGGGAAGTCTCTTCTTACACCGCAGAGCCCCTCTCTCTCCTACTGACTGTCAAGCTGCAGTTACACAAGTTTCAAACTTAATGACAAGATGAATGAAGCAAAAACAACAAAGTAGTTCAGAGTGTGGATTTAATTTTATTCTTTCAGTGATACCACTTATGATGAGAAGGCAAATGGGAATACATCAATCCTAAATAAGATCTACTGCGAGTACAATCTGGTAATTCAGCGCACCATATCCTTACTTCACATGGAAGGGGTAGAGGCTGCGAAAACTAACACAGTGCTCTGAATTCATCTGCGAAATAATTATCAGGATCTACGAATGTCTGAAGATTGTCTATGATACCATTCATAACTTAGATACAATTTAAAATTTATTCATCAGAAGGGACTTTTTTTATTACATGAGGACAATTAAGAGTTTAACGGACTTACCTCCTGTTCATCCTTCATAACCAGATTTGTTATTGGAATAGGATGTTCCTCAATTTTTATATCTGAGACATCCTCAGCTTTTACACCGATGACCTGATTTCCATCCTGACACATATCACTGTCTGAATCAGGTTCATCTTTCACCAAATCCATACAGTTCTGTAAAACCACCATACACTTATACAATTATTATGTTTCAGAAATGTTGTTTTTATAAAACAGTTAACCTAAAACAGCATGCATGTATGGATACACTTGTACATACACACAAACAGATAAGAACCATAAATAATGTGGTTAAAAGGAGGCTTACCTTCCATTCATCCTTTATTATGGGAAAAGCTGATGGTGTGCTAACCTCATCATTTCTCACGCAAACAGAATCTTCTTCACTCAGAACATCCACTTCATTTTCTATCTTGATTTTATCAATATTCTGCTGTAAAATTATGAGTTAAACATAATTCCTTGAGATGATATGCATTAAAAGCAGGTATAAACTGGATGAGAATCTACAATACCATATTCTGAAATAGAATATGGGGTGCCCTCAAGCTAATACTGAGTAATTTGAGTATAAAATTGTATCTCACAAATCTTTTTCACATCAAAATTTACAGAAAATAAGAAACTGCTGTAATGTTATGTGCGGCAAGAAAATTCATTAATCTTGTGTTGATGAAACAAGAAATTTACACGAGTCTCACTGTATTGATGCCAATGTACATAGCCTTGTACACAAGTATCTCACATTCAATCCCCATAGATACATACACACCTTCTTTCATTTATAAAGGCTAATTCCACACTGTTAACTGTGTAGTGGACATGCTCATGGTAGACATGAACTCAAGACGGGAATCTTTTTCAACCACATTATAATATAACGTCTTGAGACCTTTTTATATAACTATTAGGTATGTTTGTTTTAATACTTACGGAGGTACCCTTCAGAGATGGAAATATTTCTTCAGCTCTGTGTAATACAATTTTTGGCACTCTTTTTGCGGGAGACTGCAACATTATTTGAACGTATGAATCTCGTTCATCACACATCTTGATTGGTGTATTGAATAGGAAATTAGCTTGAGAGAATCGTACTGATATTACTTCACACTTCTGAACAAACGTGGACAATGATATAAGCGTCCTTTTGCAGTCAGCGATAATATGTCTGCCTTCTAGTGCACAGATAACTGAACTAAACTTGGCCGTAGGTTTCCTCGGTGGGAGTTGAATGTTTCATGTTAACCAGCATTTCGGCAAACAATGCAATTACGGTCTGGACTTCTAGATACGAAACTTCTGGAAACATCTTCCCGTTGGATCACTCCATTGAATACAGTGAAGAAGTGGAAGGGAGCGACATCCCAGAAGACAGTAATCTTCGTATCTGCCGCTGTGTGAACGTGAAATCTTACCCTTAATCTGTGTAATTCCTTCCACAAGACGTACAAACAAATAGTTTTTGTGCCACATGTCGAAATATTTGAGATTGAAGACAGTCCTTACGTGTAAAGCTTCTACCACATGTATTACAGTAAAGCAAATTTTATTTCTCTGGTGTACCTAATGCCTTAGAAGGCTCATTCGCTCAGAGAAAGTAGTCCAAAGGCGAAAGATTTTGTGATCTTGCTGGCTAAGCAACTGGACCATCTCGGAAAATTCGACAGTGAGGATTCTGTTGATTCAAAAACGCAGTCTTCTGCCTACCAAATGAGGAGATGCGCCATCTGGCTGGTTAACAGAGAAACATGTTCGAACATCAGTTGTAACTCTTCCTGTAGGAAACGCACGTAGAACTGAGATGTCAAGCACTGACTAACCTAACCTACGTACGCCATTTGCGTAGCTTAGTGAACAAATTTCTCAAACACAGCCAACGCATTGTGAGTACGGAGTATTTTCTTGTCAAACCGTTGCAGATAAGACCCACGTTTATTTTAATTTTTTGACAGCTGTAGTTAAGCAATGGGTACCCTGTTGCTGGACATTCTCTACATGCAGAACAACTTACGTGACGTAATATACAATGGGCTTCATGTTGAACATTATACACATGGAGAATGGGTAACCTTTTAGGTTATGTCGCACAAATATAAACGTTAAAATCAGTATCATACGAAATTCAGGACACAAATAAGTCACTAGTCTGTGAAATTATACCTTCAATTTCTGCTACATTATATGTACAGATAAAAACATTTGAATAGAAGTGTACGTCACGCGATGTTCCAAAAACACTTCTGATGTCACCCCCAAAATTTTCTTTCTTCATAAATTGCAACTTACGAGTAGCCTATAACCCTGACAGATAAGTTGATTTTGATTTAACTACTGTATTACTTAAATACGCTGTTTAAATTGCAGTCGTTAGGCACACTTAGTGTGGAACACAACGAGAAAACTGGTGGTACGAAAAGGAAGCATAAGACCACCATCCTTTAAAATTAAAAAAAGACTAATAAGCAGATTCAAACAAATAACTTCATTTCGATGGTAGCATCTAAGTGACTACTTAATGGAAATAATTCGAAAATTAACATAACTTCTGAGGTAAAGTAAATGCCTTTAACATTTGACTTTCCCTCGCATCGCTCTTACCGTTTCCTGCGAATAAGACGAGATCGATCTCCACACAGCTACTTGGTTTGAAATTGCATCAAAATGATGATGTAGGTGGTCACTGCCCCCACCACAGAGTGCAGTAAGGTCATGTCCAACGGGAAGAGACCGCATGCAGTAAAATCTATCTGCTCTCTGGTGTGCACCAGCTGCTGAGAGAACATCTGTAACTGCAGCAGTCGGGAGCAGCCCCCTGGAAAGCAAGTTAATAATAATAAGTCCCTGCGAACACATACGTGAGCCATAACATTGAAAATTCCACTCACCCCCGTACCCGAAAGGCAAAATTACACTTGATTAGTAGGATTTGAGGTTCTCACGGCGGTGAGCACGAAGATGGCTGTCTTCTGGGCCTCGTAATCTGATAAAGTTTACCGACGTTTCAGTGGTCCTTGCTGACTAGTCAGACCTCTGAAACTTTCGTACACTTGTACGAGATTACACAGCGCTGGAACCCAGATGGCAGTCATCCATAATTACACATATTTCTTTATTTATTTCCAAATTATAGTCATCTTCATTCAATGGCAACGACGTAACATTTATTTGTCAACGATAAGGTAATACACAGACCAAGGTGACGACGATACTCGGTAATAACACTGACGTGGTTGCATTCACAGTACCTGTTACACGAGGATCCTCTCCGTGCAGAAGGACTTGGTGGACCACACAGCCCGTTCGTCTGCCCTCTATCTTGGCCATGTGGCACGAGACGACTACGAGTAGGATCTTGAGACACCTTTAGAGGAGAAAGAGGAGAGACCAAGCCACGGTCCGGTGCGTTGTGTGAGTTTCCTCCGAGTTGAAATTTGTCACGAGCAGCAGATACAGAGGCCACACCGAGCCGATGAAATCGGACGTTATCACCAGCAGGATCTGCAGATTAATTAAGCAGAATAAAGAACTCCAAGTAATTTAAATTGTGATGAATCGTGGGTTATTTGACGTCTACAACGAATACGTAATGTCGAGATAACAAGATGGAAAGGGGAATTATGCGACTTTGATACGACTGATGATTGATTAAAGGATTTACAGAGTCGTTTAAGTCCACTGATCATTCGCGAATTTCAATACTTCAAAAACCTTTAAGACTGATGTTTATGGAACAAGTTAACGTAAATTTTTTGTAATAACATTTTCGTTATGCCTGATGTTAACAGTTAAACCATCGTGAGGTACGGTTGAGAGCAAGGACATTTCTAATCACCACATCCTGTCTAGCAAGGAATTGGACTGTATATACATATATCATCTGATAAAATATATATAAACCAACAAGTTTTGTATTTTTCCTTTCAGCCGACATCAAGAGACACTTTGGTGTTTACAGGTTAGCTTTTTGCTGCAGAAACCTGGTTTGGAATCCAAGATAATTCACTGCAAATGGCGACTGACGAGTTAGCTCCGAAGCAAATTTCATAATAATCAATTCAACCATTGTCTAGATGTTAGATTCTTTCGAAAAAATCGACGGAGTGCGATCCTTAACTCTATTCGTATTAATTACGGAATTATAATATGGCGACATCACAATGCAGAAAGACTCGGTGGATTTGGATTTACGTTAAATACATAATCGTCATAACAAAGATTAATATTGCTCAAGGAGTCAGAATTACCTTTCTGATCCCTGATTTCAGTGAGTCTCTAAGGCATTCGAAACTAAGATCGGCACAGAAGCTAACATAACGCACCATTCTTTAGAATTAAAAACATCTTAATAATATTTTACGTGGAAAAGACGAAATAGTTCTAAGAATGATATATTAGTGTGTACGTACTGAGCGAATATTCGTACCTGCACACCGTACATGTCATTTACTGTGGACGCCACTTCGCACAAAGCGGAGTGCGCCTTTCTGAGGGCTAGCACTTGTTGGTCCCTCCAGACGCCCACAGGGGGTGCAAAGCCGCGCGCTCTGGACTTGAAAACCAATTGTGATGGGGCAGCATCTTCCAGAATGGACCTCTGTGACCATGCATCACTGTCACTGTTGAGCACATTTCCTATTTTTAACATTATTCTTCGAAACTTGGCATGTTGCATAACAAACACGGATTTAAGAAAGTTTCATGTGACACTTTACTAAATTTCCGGTAAAGATACAGGATTATTACATTGGATTTTTTTTTTAGATTATATTATTATCACGCTCAGAAAAGTCTAAAATTATATTAAACTTAGATGTAGTGTATTGAAAGACAAAGAGACTTATTTCGTATCACTAAAATTGTCTTCAGATCCTTAAGAATAATCTTGCAGTGTAATTCTAGTCTTAAAATTTCACAAATAACCATCAATGAACAAATTAAATTAAGCACGAAGTTGTCTAAATGTAAGTAATATTTGTATTTATAATATTTTTTCTGGTAGAAGTTTATAATATTTTTAATGACGCGGGTTTAAATCATGCAGATAGAAGTTTCATACTTATGTAATTTTTTTACGTTTAGCCGAATATGTAATATTTTTTGAAGCGATTAAAAAACATCAAAATTACATTAATAACGAAATAAGGAGAACATGAAATTTTGGTAAGCTTCGGACTTCAACTTACTTTGACGTTATGACAGTGGACTTCAAGAGCTTGTTGATTCTAGCAAAGCGTTGTTTGAGTAATAGAGTGAGGCTGGAAAACTGCAGGACGACAAGCAAATTGATGAGGTGGGCATAGTATCTGCCAGTGTAGTTATGAAAGTTCCACAGCTTCCCGGTCCAGACGACGTTGTCATAAACGGCGAGCAGAGTCAGCCCGGACACACTTACGACCAGCTCAGCAGTGACTAGGATTCTCGTCTTGTCGTGAACCGAACTCGGACAAACAGCGTTCACTGCGTTGTCCGCCTGTAACATCGAATCGCAATTCGTCTATTTCGAAAGATTCCTGGTTTCCATGACAACGCGTCTGCCTAGGTACGATTTATGTGCGACGAATTAAATATATGAGCGGGAGTTAGAAGTTAAATAGCTATCTGAGCATGCGCGTAGATGGTTCGAAAACAAGTATGAAAAACTTCAGACACGATGACCGGTCCCCTGTTCGGGATTTGAACCGGAGACCCACTGAATATGAAAAAAAAGGGGCAATGATTACTCCACAGCGACTTTAAATTATGACGATAACGCGAATGGATTTAACTTATACAGTTGGACCTCAAAATACCTGAAAAATTATTAGCCCAGACTGTACACGATCTATTTGTTTATGGTAAAAACTTTCGAGGTTCAGTAAAACCCATTACTTTGGACTAACGGAGGGAATGAATTGGTCTCAATGAGTGGAAATTCTGAATTATGGAACACAAAATCGGATGTAAACATTTTCAAGTCGTAATTAACCGACGTTTAAGAGACACTTTTGTCTTTATCATCAGGGCGATGGGTGACTAATCGCCTTGATAACGCAACATCCCCGAAACGTCAGTAAACTGCGCAACAACGCAGAAGATGTCCATAATCATACTCGTCGCTGTAACTGGAATCTTACATTAAATTCTCGTTCAGGAGAAATCTCAGTTTTACGTAAATAAATTACAAAAAAAAAAAAAGGGAAAAATAATGAAGTCCGAATTCTGTTACCTGGGCAACGAGACGCATGATGGTTTGTGGTCGGTAACGATTGGCTGTAGCGCACAGGGCAAGGGATACAATGGACGATAAGTAGAGGGACGCCGAGTTGCAGAAGTCTGGGACGATATAAGTGGCCTCCTTCAATGGGTACTCTTGCAGAATTGTAAGGGCAGTCGCGTAGATGAACCAGCCGAAGAGGGCAATGAACATTACACACGTGTGCACAATGCCGTATGTAACTGGTCGAAGATTAGGCCATGCAACGGGTGCCAAACCCACAACCTGCGACACGCGGAGCAGGGGCTTAGCCGACGTGTACTCATGGTACCAAGGAGGCCCGTCGGAACACTGTGGGTCGCCAACCGAGTTCTTTGATTTATACATCAAGTATAGGCTATATCTTCACATAATAGCCGGTCTTCTAACAATATTTCTTCGTCCCAGAAGTCAGAAACAGATAAGTCCTCTTAAAACACAAAATATAATTCGTGAATTGTCAGTGTTCCGTTTCGGAGCAAAGTTCTACCTCCTTCTTATTAACATATTAGATACTTTTTCATCGTGAAAAATCGTTTTAATTTTAAACAGTCACAATGATTATTAAATCTTAAACAAATCTGCATGATACAAAACATTTATTTTTATTTTTATAGTTTATCTGCAATCACACGCCATCGTTGGTAGACTTTGTTTAGATTTCTTGAATTTCGACAGTAAATGTGAGCCTATTTGCTAGTCTAAATTTTGATAAACTAATTACGATATTAATGCAAACAATTCTACAAACTTCGGATAATATTAATATCAAAATTTCTCGTTGACTGTTATCTGTACATAAACAACACGGATTTAGAATTTCATTTGTTTTATTTACAACAGCTTGAACGACTGTAATATCTTTAGCATTTACTGAGTTTTGTGTTACATATTTACAAGTAACAATGGGGATAAGACCCCAATTAGTAATTCTTGACTTTCTTACTGACACAATCGAAACATGGCTGTCATAGTTCAGGATGTGTGTTCTTGAACCAGCTGTTGATACAGTACGAGTAACATTCCACTAATTCAATGTCTTTATATGTTTTGTTTTCAACGGAACATTTCCGATTAAAAAAACATTCTGATAATCCTACAAGAAATAATAAAATCCGACGCAATAAAAACATAACAACAAATTCTAAATAACCCTTTCAAGCCCTGCGGTACCAACACAACAGCCTGCAACAATCACCAACTCCACACTGAGCCCACAGAACAATTTATAAGGAAGCTGCCGTGGTCTAATTTAAGGTATTATCCCCGAATTTTATTTAAAATACTGAGAAAAATCACGAAAGCCATCAAACAGCCGGTCTCCGGACCGAGAGTTGAACCAGGGACCTCCCGAATATGAAGCAGGATTACCAACCGCTACAGATCGATTTTTCTTCAATTGTTTTCCGTGGTGTACCACAGCCGCCCTAAATGGAAATGAACCTCGTAGGAAATTGGATGGACAACAATGCTGCAGTGAACAGACGAATGTTATAATGGCTTCTGCGTGTCTCAAACGTCACAGTCCCATCAATTCGGTCAAATTGCTTGTAGTAAAATGTTATTTTGATTAACTACTGAAGATAACCCACATCACAGTGCAGGGCATTTACGATGTCGACCCACGAAGAATCGATACGATCGGAGGAAGGCAATTAGGGATAATGAAAACTATATTGAATTACATGAAAAGCGACTGGTAAAACCCGATCGTATTTGAATGCTAAAGTTTACCAAAACAAATCTTAACTTCAGTCTCATTCAGAATATCAAAGATATATCAAAGCATATTCTGTTGGATACGACTCTAAAAGCCAACTTTACTCAAGTATAATAGGCGTATACTTATTATCTATCCAGGGCAAGGAAACTAAGTCTGATTCAACAAAGAAATATATAATAAGATACTCATTTATCACTAAAGATTATGGTATCATGCGATAATAATATTACTTTATGTAGTTATGATTGACTAATCAATTTTAAAATGGCGTAATAATAAAGGCAACATCAATGTCACTGAGGTGGTTCTAAACACACCTGAAATATGATTATATAAGCAGAGAGGGTGAGATCTGTCATATTAGTGTCGTGTTACAGTTTCGATAAACATACTGAAAATGTCGACTGTCACAGATGTTTGTCATAACGATTAATTACATGGCTCAATAATGGAGCAGATTAAAGTAAAAATACTTCACAGGATGTGAAAAATTGGGTAATGTGTCGTTCATGTTACGAAGCTCGAAGTTTTTATATTGGTCGAGTTGTTTTTTGTAACTTTGCTTTCATCTTTTCATCCGCCAGAGAGAACAAAATTAAACATTTTCTTATCACCTTCTGTGAACATATCAGATACTGTAAAAGCAAATTTTATTTAGCCGTGGAAACCAACGAAATTTGCATCTGAATGCTTTCAAGAATAAAAATAAAAATTTGTATCATTTGAACGAAACCATAAAAACAGAAATGAAACTTCATACCATTTTGTGAAAATTCAGTCAACGTCCATTTGCCTTTCTAAATAGAAACACGAACACGTAACCCTTTCAACTTGTAAAATTCAGCGACACTAGCGTTATTTAATGAAACAATTTAAAATGATATGTCATCGTGAACGTTTTGAAGCTTTGCAACTTCTATTGTTAACAAAGGCGTAAAATAGGAGTAACAGAAAACCGAGGAAAATAAATATTTTTAGGTTATGTAAAATCTGATGTCTTTGCATTACAAACATTCCTTATTTAATGAGACACTTTTAAGCTAAGATGTACGTGAAGAAATATAACTTATGACAAAAAGATAATACATTTCAATCCAAGTGTTAAGGTGTGTTTGTGGTAAATGTCTTAGGTGTCTGATGAATGCTCATTTTTAAGTGTAAATTTCACAAAAATCATGAACTTTTATAGGGGAGTCACAGGTTTGAATCCCTATACGTAGGCACAGTCTTTAGCAAGAAAGTTTAACGTCATGGATTTAAGATGCTTATCACCCATTGGTATTAATCTTTGGGTAATTTAACATCGATATCAGTAACTTACATTAATACGTTAATATGCAACGAATCACAAAAGACATGAAAGTACGAAATCGTGACTTAATTTATGGTATTAATGCGACATTCTTTCCGGAAAACACAAGTAATTCCGGTAATACATGCTTCCAACAATTATAATTAAGGACTTAGTAGTTAAAAAATATAATACACATAAAAAAATAATATATAGATATTTTATTTAATGCAACAAAGTTCTCACCAGATAATTTTATTAGCAATACAAATAAGGAAAAGTACATGTTGATAAAATATCGTAAAATATTTTATACTGGTGGGACAAACCTATATTCAAATACTTCCTTTCAAATATCTGTTGCTTAAACCCACTTTGATGCTGTTTGTTCCATAATTGACTGCCATTAATCAACCAACCCTTCCTTTCTGATCCTCCCGAATTAATTAATATTAGTAGAACATAAAATTTCAAAGCTGCTGCTGTTAAATTTTCCTTCCCAATGAACATTTTTGAAAATAAAAATTCCAAAATGGTCCTAAGATTGAGAAATGTTCCTTTCAGCAATTGATATCGCACTTTTTGTTATGGCTGAATCCATGTGTCCCATTCTCTCACTGCCAGGTACGTAACAATATTTATAATTCTCATTAGGATAAACATATAAACGTTTCGAAGGTAAATCTCCAAGGAAAAAGCAATATTTTTGTATTATTTTCTTAAAGAACCTGTTCCTCTGACAGAGCAAAATAATTTTTTCTGTCTTGAATATTAGTTTAACTCTAGTGACTAGGCTGATAATTTCTGCATCCTCAGTGATGGCCCGAGTATCACTTACCGCCAGACCATTCAGTAAGTTTAACAACGTCAATGCAACGAGGAGAACGAAAAACAGAAAGATCAAATGGCTGGTCACAGGGACAGAATTGAAAGAAAGTCCTTTCGTATCAAATTCACCAGTAAACATAATTAAAGTTTCAAAGATAATAATAAAAATCTTCTTGACTTTATTCCAAGTTCCATCAGTTATGACGCTGTTTTCCTTACGAAACAGAACATTGAAACTCAAACCAAAAGCTACAATTATGGGAATATAGCATAACCCAAACTTAATAAATGTCTTAGAAACTTTCTTTAACATTGAAAGCTGCACAGATACGTTTGGGAGATGACCAATAAGAAGCAGGAGATCTATCCAAGCCAACAGGATACCAATGGCTGCTGCATGGCGATTTATATCACAATGTGACACAAGAAGGTATATAAATGTACACGCGATAACCGATGCATCAAACAAGTTTCCCAAGTTGCTAAAATATTCAGTTCTGTCAGCTATTAACTGAACTAATTCTTTTACTAGTATTAAGATGAGAAAGGATACTAATAGTGCAGTAGCTACTTCGCTCATAATCGACGACGAAGCCGGAGATGAGTCTGCGGTGCTCTCAGAATGTACAGACTCATTTAACAACTGCTTTTCATGCTCCTTTGGTGAATTGCGTATAAATACGACGTGAAATGTTAGAAACAGGAGGAAAAGAGAATAAAGTAATATGTTGAAGTAAACTAATCTACGAACATGGTGCCACTTAATGAAGAGGACACTAGAAATAACAGGATGCTTCAATAAGCCCCTCAGTTCAGTTGTTTCACTAATCTTCAGTATATGATGCATCTCGGTATCAGTATGGGATATGTAAGACGTGTCTTTCACTGATGGGAGAAAGTTGTACTTGAAGGCAAGCATAAACTGTGGACTCTTCACGTTATTGCCTTTGCTTTCTATAAAGCCATCTAAAAACTCTCTAAATATTTGCATATCCAAATATTGCAATATTGCCTCTCCCTTCACTTCACACATGAAATCGGCACCTTGCCTCAGAAGAAGGAGCACAGTATCTTTCTTTCCCATTCGAGCGGCTACGTATAGCGGCGTACCTTCCCCATCTTGTGAATCAATTTTTGCTCCAAACTTCTTTAAAGTTAATACTGCATCATTATTTCCAGTGAGAGCAGCAACGTGCAGTGGCGTATGTCGATTCCTATTCCACGTATCGACCTTCGCGCCAGAAATGAGCATTTATTCCTATTCCACATATCGACCTTCGCGCCAGAAATGAGCATGACCAGAGCAAAGTTCATATTTTTCCACCGAACAGCGACATGCAGTGGTGTTTCTTTTCTGTTGTCCTTAGCATCTATATCTGTAGACTTCTTCAACATAGAGACACATTTTTCCAGAATAGGAAAGCTCTCGTTGCCTCCACACGTGTTTAATGCCAACCAATGTAGGACTGAGCCCCCATTCATCCCCGTTATGTTAATATCGATATCTTCGGTTTTCAACAAGACTTCCAATGCAGGAATATTCAGTCTCTCAGCGGTGGTATACAGAAGAGGTATTCCAGAAACATGATTTTCGATATTTGGATCAGGCGTCAAGTCCAGAATAACTTTTGCAAATTCCTCTCTTCCTCTTATTACACAAGCCATTTCCAGGCAAGTGCAGTGGTATGGTTCTTCATATTTGATTTTAATTAAATCTTTGTTGTTGTCTAGCACATCTTTGAACTCATCAAACAAACCACGCTGCAGAGTTGCCAACAAACAAAGCTGCACTTGTGGCGAATTGGTGTCTTCCATTAACGGTTCTGGCACGAGTGCTTCAAATTCAGGATATTTTTCCAGAATGGACTCACGGATTGTTTGACCTCCATCTGCCAAACTGTAGTCAACATTTACTTTATGTGCATCCTTATGCTTCAGAATAACTTGAACTCTCATCTTGTGTGACTTCCTCAATGCTCTGCTTATTGGAGATCGTCCGTGACGGTCAGGCTTGTTGACTTCTATATCAGATCTGGCCAGGAGAAATTCCAGGCATCTGAGGTACCTACCGTCTGTCCCATCTCCTGATACAGGTGTTTCTGCCGCTAGGTGCAAAGCTGTTCTTCCTTGTTTTTCCACCGCATTTATATCAATGTCTTTTGCCTCCTGTAGCAACAATTTGAGAACTTCGTGATTTCCGTTCATGGCTGCTATGTGTAACGCCGTTCTACAATACTTAGTAACTACATTAATGTCTGTTCTTTTATCCCGAAGCAGCGCATTTACTGCGTGAACATTGCCACCTTCTGCAGCCCAGTGTAGAGGCCTTGACTTGTGAAGATCAATATTTGGATCAATTTCTGTCAGTAAGTTTTTGATTTGGTCTGGTGTCCCACATTTAAAAATCTCCTTTAGCTTCGCATATTCTGTAATGTCTTTTGAGTTATCCAGAAGAGGCTGCTGAGCAATGACTTTATTTCCATCCTTTTCTCCTTGTTTATCTGTGGATAACTCATTCTGTAATAGTACACAAAACTTGATTTACATTTGCCTCATTATGTATACACAAATACTAACCTATATACTTTGCAACCACAGTTACATATTAAGGATTATATTTCAAACAAGCATCCTATCGAGATTTAAGGCTATATTAATGGATAATATCAGAGTACATGCAACGATAATATAACTTAATACTATCCTGTCGAGGTTTAAGGCTATATTAATGGATAATAACAGCCTACGTGCAACGATAATATAACTTAATACCACATGTAAACAATTGTTGAAAGTTGTATCAAGTATAAAATACCGTAAACATTCAACAATAAAATTCATCTTCTCTTACTATAAAAATTCGTGATTTGTCGTCTATCAAAAAATGACGTCATCAAACAATGTTACGTTATATTTGTTTACTCGGCATTGTTGTACAAACACAACAATGCCGAGTAAACAAATGACTTGAGTAAGACACTAAACTAACCTCTTACTTGGTTGCGTTTTAAAAACTTGACCACCCCCCCGAGGAGCTCCGAAAGGAGCGCTCTGTTCCAGTTATGTCAAAATTGCTGCATTTGACTTCATGTAACTTAACCACAGACGTCAGCCCTTTGAATCACAAAGTTAATTGAAATAACACTTTTAAAAAAAATTCAGTTCTTGTCTTACCATTTCAATCACAGTTGCCATATTGCTTAAGCCAGCCTCCTTATTTACATGCACAGAAGTAAAAGAGTTTACCCCATTACCCAAACACAGCCATCAGCTCTGAAATTAAAGTACAGATATTTCGAAAGCATAATTATTATTAACTTTACCAAAATTGTAATGTCAACAAAGTTTAATAAAACGACATACTGTAAAATTCAGTGAAAGAGAAAAATGCTTGTAGCTGAAATCAACTCAGGTACAGAACGGAAGAGCTATCTTAGCAGACCTAACAGCAGATGGAAGATGTTAAATATTAAGTAAATGAGATGTGAAACGGAGACAGCCCAATGATGAACTCTCGAAAACGCAATAATAAACTGGTGTTCCGTAAATAAAAACGAATTTCTTGACTAGCTGAGAGACTCTACTCCGTGGAGTGAGTTACAACAAACACAATGAACTGGCGTAATAATAATACCCACAGCAACGTGCAACACACCCTTGAAATCAGTCACACATGGAAGTTCTTACATCCTTATCTCGCTTATCTAGACATAGCAAATAATTACACAACAGGCTAATCTTCGTCCTGGTAAGGCAAATTATCTCTAAGAGGGCCTGCCTTCAAAATGTGCTGAATCAGAAGTATTGAATTTTGTATGGGACGTAATGATATTTTATACCAACGGTACTGTAAATGGGCTTCGAACTTACGTTGAGGCAGTAGTCCCTTAGGGGCACATGGTAGCGTGAAGGAAGAAAACAATGACGTGTCGCCAAGCGCAGTTCAAAAATTGAACTGAACCGAGTATTACGTATTTGATCATAACGAATAGTTTTAATTGATTAATATTTCTCCAGTCTTCTTCTTCTTCATTGCAATCAATCCTAGGATTGGTTGGCAGCGGGTTTTTGAGCTGCTGATACTTGGGAAGTTCTTACCTTGTATGGGGGTCAAGAGGAAACATGATTTTCAAAATATGTCAATTTGAGAAAATATTGATCTCAATTTTATTCTTGATCTTCTAATGACAAAGAATTTTACGTTCGTACAATGCCTTAAAAATTGTAATTTTCCATGTGATCTGAGAACATCAGTACTAAAAGCAGTAAATATGTGACTAGATACTATGCAGAAACCTAGCTGCTTCAGTAAAAACAATTCCTGAAGCACGTGAGGTCCGCCTTTTACACCAAATGTTTGTACATCTCACTTTTTTAAACGATTTCTGGCAACGTACACATAACACCACCAGCTTCACGTTCAAGAGTCAGCACAAATCGCCTCACGGTACACGGAATAATACTACATACACGTAATGAATATATTCACAACTTTAAATTCATTTCGTGTCAACTCAACCACAAATACAAATTACATTATCGTGATACGTGTACCGAATCTGAGTCTGCATCGAGTTTCCATAGTCAAATAAAATATATCAGTGCATTCAGACTGTATAAAAATTAATTAGTAAACATTAATACTGCGGTCTAATACGTCAGGATGATGCACGTTTAATTTTAAATTCCGCGTAAATGCCTCGTTTAGGAAATCTCTCTAAACAGTGATGTATCGACAACACAGCGAAAGCAATGGCTTATAGTGGCCCAACATTCCAAAGCCGAACTGTGATATGCGGAAGTTGGTATCCTCCTCCTCTGCTTATATAAGTGTTAGAGCAGATTAGAATAGCTTTCTCCGTCGTCTACTAATTTTGTACAGGTAACCCAAAATTTTCACTTTCATTATGTATTTAATGAACTTTGAATACGTTGCAGAGACGAAACTGTAGAGAGTAGACGCCTAAGCAAAACACAACGATCTAAAAATCAAACCACACAAATTTAAACTTTGTTTCATTTTGTAGTCCACAGCATATAATAAATTTACCTCGAAAAAGTAATGATACCACACCCAATGTTTTCCCGAGGGATGAAATACATTTCAAGTCTCATAAATTGGTAACAAGATGGAGATCAGCATTATTAATATAAAATTCAAAAAATTCTATGCCCAACTCAAAAACAAGGGGGTCCATATAAAATATTTATGCAAGTTGTTAATTGTTCAATTATGCATTTAAAAGTGTAAAGTTATAATTAGTAACAACAATAAAGGCCTCGTATTATGATTCAGGAACATCTATTTCGACCTGAAACTGTGTTCCGGGCTGCCCCAGCACGTTTATTTTTGTGACTACACCCCTGCTCACTTTTAATCCCAAAGAAAGAGGCCATACTTTTTCTGAAGTGTTATATAACCTCTTTTTTTTTTGATATTGGAAATATGACCCAGAAATATATAAATTACGGAAAAGTGTTTTTTTTAAATTTCTTTTTATTTCCTCGCTCCATAGTTTCAGTTACGTAAATTACTGTCATTCGAGACTCTCCGTCAGATTCAATGAGAGCAAGAGTAAGGATCATTAGTGCCAATGAAAATGGTGAGAAACTGTATGTACAGCGAAGCTCGCCCATAGCAGAACGTTACTATCTTACACGGTAGTGCGTAGGGGTTATACAACACTGACCTATTTGTACACCGAGAATAAAGATTTTCGTTGTTTTCTGATCTTTGTTACAGAAATATTTATTCTCCGTACCGTAACGTAATTTTCAAACGTGAACGTAAAGCACGCTACAAAAGATATAATTTGTACATTTCCATAATTTACACAGAATAAAAGACACATTTTCATAATCTATATCACCGAAGCATGTCATATAAAATATGTAATGAAAGGATTATGATACTCTAAGCAACACGAAATGCCATTAGCAACATCAAACTGTCAAGGTCTCAGTGCAACTAGAAGTCTCAAATAATGTTCTCATTCACACTGTAATTTCAAACTGTCAAGGTCTTAGTGCAACTAGAAGTCTAAAATAATGTTCTCATTCACACTGTAATTTTTGGTACCGTATTTATGAAAATACAAAATCTAACCTCAAAGAACATTATGGAACATATAAATACATCAGTATCAATATAAATGGAAGAACAGACATCAAACAAGACAAACATGTCATGATAATAACAACGTAACAGGACACCGATTTTGATTTGTACGTTTGTGCTTGCACAAATTGGTTCTTTACATTGTATCCGTAACTACTGCCTTCACCGATGTCAAAGCGTATGCAAGACACACCTCCTGCGCTAAAAAGTGAATGCACACAGACACAGACATGTAAATCTGATATGACGCACTTCCCATCGGTCTTCACTCTTCTGTCTGTTGTTTTATAAAAACAAAATGATTCAGAAGATAACCATCACCAACAAGCTGAAACACTTCTATATTTCAAAGTGATGTTCAAATAAATGACAGATGATTCACGTATCAAATCATCTACGTCTCTTCATAACTCTCACTGCTTCCTTCAACGAACCCAATTCACCTTATTTTACATTATCAAAGTAATAAATGTAGATGATAAAAATTTGTGTCGAGAGTTGTACACACAGTAGTAGTTTGGAAAAATGGAGGCAAGGTAATTTTTGAGATTAAAACTGAATCGCACTCAGTCCCACATCCGTAATATCCGCAGAACAATAACCTGCAACAAATTACCTAATTGTGTCATTCCTTGCAAGGGGGAGGAGGGAGAGGTGCATTCTCCTCAAAGATCATGACCAGCTTTCCATATTCCACATTCCGTTGTTTCTTCCTACCCTAAAAACATATCAGAAACCATTAAAATTTATGATCTACACTTTCTCAGCAACTGACATTAATAGAATCTTCTCAGGCTATTGGTCATGTTACATGTGGTGTCATTTCCAACAAAAAATATATAATAAATTCTTTTGACCTGAATTTTACAGCACAACAAATATCATATTAATATTGTTTAGGACTAGAGAGATATCTAACAAGTGATTGTACTAACTGAGATCTAATTTTACTGGCTAAACTGTTGAACATTTATAAAAACTCTTTCAAACAGCATAAACCTAACCTCAAAGTTTTCATAAATACTTTCATACAACAAAGCTATCACAGACTGTATTTCTCTACTTTCTTCAACAGTTACCCCTAACACATAACCTCAAAAAGTTTACCCACAAACACACGCATATTTTTAGTTTTGAAGACACTGGACACAAATATTTGATATGTTGAAGTAAAAAAAATAATGTGAATTTAACAACTCTAGTATCTACATATGGCTATGCTTGAAGAAGCATCTTTGATACCAACCTTGAAGACACACTCATTCTCTGGAGCACTAGACTGAACATCCTCCCCACTGCTGCCACTACTAGAAGTAGAACCTTCTTCAATTTTAAGTTTTGTTGACAGGCCTTCCAGCTCCATATCTAAGTAAAGCTGATTCAGTTGATCATTTACAAGGAAAGGCTGATGGATATTTTCTAGAGCTTGTAGGTCTGCTTGCAATACATTTCTAAGTTTCTGATCTTTCATCTGATAGCGATACACAAGGTCCGGAGTCTCATGTACCTCTTCCATCCATGGGGGCTCCTGTATTGAGGAACACAATTAGTTTCAAAGAAGGCAGTGCCAACAAATGAAACTGTAATAAGAGGCACTATAAACCTGTGATTTGATAAAACACGAGGAAACATAACCTTAAATCACTTGACAACCTACAATTAAACATTCAATTTACATTGGTAATTCTAACAATTTTTCACAAGAAACTTATATCATATCTGTTTAGGTAGGCTGTGGGATCATTTATTCTAATATAACTAAATATTATAAAAATACAACATTATGGTATCAAGCGAATGAGAATTTTCTGCAATAATGGCAGTAGTTGTTCTGTTGAAGATGTGTTTTTTCACTTCAAATTCACTGATGCCAGAATTCTGGATTTCACACCAGAGGATCTCTGAATTACATCACAAAGCTCTTTTCAGATACTGCCTTCAACACTCACCAAATTTAACAAACATGAACACAAGAGATACTTTGCCGAAGTTACCTCAGGCAGGCAGAAAGTAACAGTACAGTAATAACGAGTAAAATATACTTGTCAGTAACATTTCATACTTAGAAACAAACAAAATTATAAACAGCTGTTAAATTATATTTAGCTACATGGAAACAGTTTCAATTAAACTACCAAATTACATATTTAAAAGTACGCTCACAAACAGCATAGTCTGTATAAAATAAATACTAAATATGACATAAGCCTAGTGAGTTTGTTCTGCTTTATTATCATGTATAATACAAATATGTTTACTCGATACAGAGAAGTGCAACTGTTGATAAAGTGGATATTTGCCGATGCTGTTGTTCTGGACAGTACTAATGCTGTGTGGACTTGTACATAGATACCAATGTTTTACAGAACATGATGCTTCCAACTTCAGCCTCCCAGAATGTTGGTACGTACTACGTGTCCATACAAATCCTACCCATAAGACCAACGATGATGTCTTCACCAATGCGAACCTTAAATCTCAGACTGTTTACTGGTTAAAAGAGATCACTAAAGCAACTCGACAACTGCTAGACTTTCTAAACAATCTCTGTTGTGCCGTTAAGTCTTGGTATCATTTCCAAGTGAATCAGACTTATCGAAGGACTTCAATATTTTATTCCCCCACTATAACTTGTTGGCAGCAATATATAAACACAAGGAAAAATGCGCATAAATAACAAAATACCGACTTACTTTCAATGTTGATCTTGGATTCATTGGCTGCACATTTTCTAACTTCTTCCACACCATCTCCTGAAATCAACATGTTCACTTACTTGCTGCAAGGTTGCCAAAGTAACACCATTCATCCTATGTGATTTTCGAATACCCCCCCCCCCCCTCCAAGCATATTTTCTATTACTGTACCAATAAAAATTTATGAGGCACAGTGGTAAAGTGTTTTACAGATTTTCCAATGCAGCCTTTTCCATTTTAATCGACGTCAGTATTATCACTCACGGAGCAAGATGTATGAAAATGTAATGAAGCAAACCGAGCACCAATTCTTTTTATCATTTGTATATGATCATTAACAGTACCCGACTCTTTCGAGCTCTCAATACTGGGGCTTTTACTGTGCATATTTCATGAAGCAAATATACAGTGATATCAATTTCACGTAACGTGAATACCAAAATTGCTACTATTTAAAATCACACAAGTAAAAATTACAAATTTCACATAACGTGAATACCAAAATTACTAGTATTTAAAATCACACAAGTAAAAATTACTAAGCTAAGCTATAAAGAGAATGAAACTTATTGAACGCTTCCACATTTCAACTCTGTTTGTGCTTACCTCAGCCTGATTTACAGGATTAGCACTGGCATATTCTGGTGAGCTATTCATACTGGCATCAGATTTATCTGTCTCGAGAAATGAATAAAATGATGAATAACTACAGTCTGAGTCCTGAGTTGTACTAAATGCCTCTCTTATGCTCTCAGTATCTCTTTTATCATCTTCACACCTCATTATCTTCTCGCCATCCTGGCTTATATTTGGTGATATCTGTCCACCACCGACAGAATAAAGTGACTTTTCCTTCTTGGATGATTCACTCATACCCTAAAATCAACAGAAAGGTTAAGTCAGTCAAATGATACCCTTTCCAAATCTTCAAATTGAACAGATGTTCTGAAACACGCCATAAATATGTCCACGTCTGACAAGCAAACACAGCAATGAGTTCTGTTAAACCTTGATTTACTATTAATTTAATAAAATGAAGTGTTTTATTTTACAAGATATAAATAAATAAGTAAATGACACTCTTCTGTGAATTTGACTTACAGGGACAGTTGATATGTCCGCACATTTTATTGAAGAAAGTATTTGTCTTGCGGCTATCATCAATGTTACGCGTTTCATTCTTAATCCTGTACAAAATATTTTCTAGCACAGTTTAACCTATTATGTAGCTCTTAATTAAATCAAATAACATTAAATCAAGCTTTACGACAAATTATTACATTTCCTACGTAAAATTATCTAACACATGCAGACATACACACCCTCTTAACAGAGGCAGACGCTACACTCCCCAAGACAGACCCTGGTTCTGCTTTAACAGATGTGGCTTGTGATGCAGGACGCTGAAACTTGCTGGGCATGGTACCACTGTCTGCCATTACTACTGAACTCTGTACAATGAAACCAAAGTAAATACATTACCCCTTTTACTTATTTACTATAATTGTATGCAAAATTATTAGTATTATGAAATAGCTGCAGATTTAATAGCACATAAAACAATTTTGAGGGACGCAATAATTGTGAAATAACTCACTAAATTCAAGAGACTGCGAGAGGGAAGGAAAGAGAAAAAGAAGGAAAGTTTGAAAGAATTTAAGTAATATAAACAAAATAATGCGAAAACAAGTTTAAAAATTACATGTACATACATATCTTCATCACAATGTTTACATGAGAAAGGCCCATGGAAATTCAACAGGCAATAAATTCTTTCTTATCTTTATCTCTTACCTCTTCTTCCTTTCTTTTTCTCTGTTATACCTGTATCTACTCCCTACCCTTCTCTTACATTCCCTTTCCATCCACATTATTTCTGTTTCCATGGCTCATATTAGAAGTACTTTGAAAATCTATCTAAAGGTAGCAGCACTTGTAAGACAGACATTTTAATAGCTGGTATCATTTTGTTACCAGCCGTGCTATTTCAATATTTTCCCCAAGGTCTGCACCCATTTAAATATCTCCTCTGTAAGCATAAGAAATGCTGTATCATAATGTTCGCTTTTATATAACGCACATTTTTGCAATTCTTTAGGCTTGAAGATAAAGCCAGTGTGTTCTTCAGAAAAGTTTGCACCTGCTCACAAGACCACATGATGTTAGAACCAAGAAGACCAATAATGAAATTGTTACTTCTACGAGAACCTCAAATCTCATACTACAGAAAGGTTGCCTTCAATGGAGCACTGGATAAGAACTGTTCTTTCTACGACCCAAACAACACACGCATATCAAACAACATTACTAACCCACCTTGCGCTCTTGTTTACACGTCACAGCTGCAGGAATGTCCGGCCGAGGACACGGTGCTTGGAGTAAGGCCGTAGCCGGCTGGAGCATCGTCATTGGTGGATATATGACAGGCGGGGCCCCATACACTGGAGGATACTGATAAAACATGGTCGCAGCAGCATTCATAAAAGGCACTGAAAACAAAAGTCATAAATTCAAATTCTGTATATATTTCAGCAGAGATAACGCTATGTTACGTCTCTCTTATTGCTTTGGAAATGAGCGACTCATGAAATTCTTCTTCTCCTTACCTTGGTGAGGGTAGAAAGCGGGTTGTTGTCCAGGCAACATTACCCCAGACGGAGACATTCTAGGTGGTCCTGGATGTTCCTGAGGTGGCACAATCTGAGCAGAGGCAAGGCCAGCCTGCTGAGCAATGGATGGGATATAGTACACGGGAACCACGTTGGCCACTTGCGGACGCGTAGGCAAAGTGTTCGCTGTAAACATGCTGAGAAAGAAAATACAAACTGTTTGCAAAACATCACTTGGAAATAAGTTCCCATTACGTGTCACATCCGCTAAAAGGTGCGTCGCAGAAAATTAAGAACGACGACGTTAACTATTTTTAAAACAGGTAGAGAAACTGCTCTCTTACTGAATTTATGCTTCAAAACTTCATAAACAACATGAATAAGACTTTCATGGCCTACTAACCCACGTGTTGAGCAGGGTGCCGTTTGCTGCATAGGTGCAACGGTGAAGGGTGGCCACAAGTTCACATTAGTCCCTCCTTGATACTGACGCGGCACACTCCGAACAGATGAGTGCTGTTTTCCGATACCAAGGCAGTGATTCACGCTGCCACCACCTCTTTCAGGATTGAATTCCTTTCCGACGTCCACGTGAGGGTGTTTGCTAGCTTTACGTAACTCACCCTCCCAAGAATGTGACCCACTTCGTTTCACTCCGTGACACTGTTCCTGTAAAAAATTAAACAAAATATTGTATTGCCGACTTGAACCCACCAGTGTGGAGATCTTTACAAAGCACATTATATCACCACCATCCACTGCTGTAGAGTTACGCAAATTGCACACAGACTAAAACTCTTTCATTAAGGTTTCTGGTTATGATGCACGCACGCATATTCTTGAATATTTTTTAATTTAATAATTTAAAAAACATACAGCATTTCAGAATCTGGCTCTACTTCCATCATCTGATAAAACTACACAACGTAAATAGTTGCGTTCACTAATTCAATCCTTCGAGGAGAGTTTAAACCCCCGTACACAAGGGTTAAATATTAGCTGTACAGTAAAATCCATGCAAAGGCATGACAGTTTTACACATTTTCTAATTTTTAACGAAACATTATACTGAATGGCGGAGAATAAAAATGTAATTTAAACCATGTGTGACATACCACACTTACATGTGAGAAGTGACCATACATAACCTTCAGAATGTTCACACGCTGAACTACTTCCAAGATAATGACAGTTAAATATTTAAGCAAACATCCCAAATGTATTTGCATATAATTAACTTTTCTAACCCTCTTTACTCATCTTAGGATAATTTATTTGTCATACGCAGTCGTAATACATACCTGTAGGAGTCTTTCATAAACACATTTCTTTTGCTTGTTTTCTCTTTCACTACCTTTGTTCCTTTGTTCTTTATGTTTTTGGACCATTCTCTTTTCCATGTCTTCATTATGTCTGCAAAAATAACTGAAATTAATTACAATTATTTAACCAGTAACACTAATTGTGTAGTTCTAAAAATAAAAATGCGGGGAAAGTCTGGCATGCAGTTTGAGGTTTAATGAAATGTTTATGAATCACAATACAAAGCTGTTCTGTTCGCTATTAAATTATATCTTTACACTCTTAAAAGCAGAACTAAATGATATAGACCTCACAAAATGCTCGCACTTAAACAATATAGCATTTCACCTCAAACAGAAGACTGAAATCTAACCTGATTTATTTCTTATAGGAGACGCAGTCATGCAGAATGCTACAGGGTGATAAACGTAATGCCCACACACTTAAAATTTAATCAGTTCCAAGGAAGGGTAAGGATACTGTACCCACCTGTACAGTAACGCTTCAGTGAGAATGGGTGGTTTATAGGAGCCTTGAGATGTATTGGTAGCACTGGTATCTCTTCTGCTCTTGGTGCTCTCACCAATACCCGCACTTCCGCTGCTGTGGCCACTTCCACTACCAGTGCCACTTCCATTAACAGGAAAACAACACTTCCTGTTTACCAACAAAAAATATATTATCGGACTGAAGATGGCTGTCTTCCGGGTTGTAGTGCCATGCAGTCTGGTATGTTGGTAATCTTCTAACAGACTACATGGTGCCGTTACCCAGAAGACAGCACCTTTGGACTCACCACTGTAAAAACCTCAAATCCTACATATTATCGAACTACCTGTTTATCGGAAGCACGGAGCTCTAAACGAAATAACGTACGTCAATTAGTAATCTGAGAAATCGATTGAGAACTAATAACCTAAAAGTCAATAATAAAGGGTAGAATGAGAGATGGGCGGGGCATGTAGCGCGCATGGATCGGACAAGAGGTGTGCACCGGGTATTGGTTGGGAAGACTTAGGGGAAGAGACCTCTGGGGAGACCTAGACGTAGATGGGAGGATAATCTCAGGCAGGATCTATGGGAGATAGGAATTGAAGGAGACTGGATTTCGTTGGCCCAGGACAGGGTCCGGTGGAGGGCTTTGGTTAGTTCGGTGATGAACCTTCGGGTTCGGTAAGCCATCTAGTTAGTTAGATGTTGCATAAGACCCAGAAAAGGTTGATATTCCCTTATTTATACCTTTTAAAAGTTGAAAAAATTAAAATGCCAGATATCATCTGTTTCACCTAACCTGTTACTGGATCCCGGGCTGGAATCTGCTGCTTGCCCGCTTTTCATCTCTTCTTCTGTGCCCATTAGTGATCTGTTCGCTTCCATCTTTGAATCACCTGATTCATCGGAAAGGGTTGTTTTTGGTTTGCTCTCAAAGAAACTGAAATAAAGTTAGCATGAACATTAACACCAGATTTTAAAATCTTTACGGACCTCACCGGGATATAAACACCCTGTCACATTGATTAATACTTTTTCAGGTCGCACATACCGCTGAATATTATCATTGTAGTTAAGCTGGTTGTAACTAGGTGGAGTCTCTGTTGACGACTTGCTGTCACAGTAGTCGTGATGAGGTGAGATTTCACCAAGCATTACTGAGTCATGTTCCTGAAACACGAGTCAGTACCAAACACACGGTTAAGTTCCACAAATAACAAACTTCCTAATACATTTTCTGTACCATACAAGCAAATCCATGGCTTAATTTCATTACGTATCTTACGCAGATGTTCTAAGAATGACAGCTCTTACCCTCATATATTTTGTAACATTATACAAGATTAATAATGGAACTATCTAATCCTCTAGTGGGCACTGTCCCATTGACATCTGTCTCATTAAATAACAATAAAATTAAATCAATTCTAAAATTCACTATAGAGATTAAAACACTACTGTAAGTATTCAAGAGTTGGATCGATTAAATAAAGCAATAGACTTACAGAAAAGCTGAGATGTTCCTCAGGGAGATCAACTTTCAAATCAGGTTTGTAAACATCGTCCATTAGACCTTCCATGAATGTTGCCAGAGCCCTGCATCGCTTTGTAACATGTCGATTCTCCGGCTGCACCGCGGTTCTGACCGTCTGCCGTAATAAAGGGAAAAGGAGATACGGTTAGGAAATATTTAATTTCATGAAAGAAAACAGCAAGATCTCTAAACACATTTTTAATGCACTGACATTTACAAGACTTACCTCACTGAGCAAACTTCTAATCTCCTCCTGTATTATTTTGCTTTCCTTCAGAACTTCTTCAGAGATCTGCTGTGTATCCTCTTCATTTGGGCTCATGAAGACATCAGCATTTTCAGGACCCTGGGAGAAATTTAGTGAGATCTTGTCAACTAAGTACGACGGGACACGTCATAACAATAAAGTTAGTCCAAAGACAAGAACAGTAAACGTCCATTAAGTTCTACATAGCAGACAACGTGATGGGACACGTCATAACAATAAAGCTAGTCCGTAGACAAGAACAGCACATGTCCATTAAGTTCTACATAGCAGACAACTTCTACCATAAAAATTGTTAAATTTATTCCATATAAACATCAAAACTGCAAAATCTGATGTAACTATCACCGTTGATATTGCCAGCAACAACTTACTTTAAGCACTCGATGCTGTCCGATCAAAAACTCAAGTTTCTTTGACCATGGATTGACAAAGGTGGACCATTCTGTTTCCAGCAACACATAACCGCCATTCTGAGCCCTAAAGCGGTATGGTTTACTGCGAAATGAAGATCCATGCCCCTTCACTACTGTAAACAGTAACTTTAGAATCAAGATTGTGTACATATACAGCAGTATATAAGAATACATAATGTCAAGAGAAACTAAAATGAAAGACAAAACTCAAAAGTTAAAAGGGAAAACAAACTATTTCCATTTAAAATGTTGCGAGACTTCACATCTTGGTGTTTCAGAATTCACAGCAATATAGTGTTTGTCACTTGATAATCATAATATTAAACAAAATGGGAGTGCCGCGGAAGAAAAAAAAATCCCATTTTGATAAAGCCTGTTTTCAGTCATTAACGTCCGAATCTATGTGTCTCCTAGGAATAACTTCAATAAACATGAAGAAAGAATTTTACACAACAGAATACTTCTTACAAATCTCAAAGTCATGAGAATACAATGGCACTGAATTCATAATTACTACATTCTGACATCATATCAAGGAAATTATTAGTTTAATTTGGTGAATCCGGTTCACAGAAAAGGTGAGGAACATTAGATTTTTCATAATTACTGTAGTTTCAACAACACGTATAAAAGAAAAGCATCCAATGAATATAGCATGGAAAAAAGAAGTTTAAATGGTACTTGAATTAATTTTGTGAGCTACAATACGACACTAAAGCACAGCAACGACTTAAATAAAGTTAATTTATCTTCTCTTACGGCCATAGGCATATGTAATCATGAAGTATTTGTACTATCAGAATTGATGGATAACAGAAATATATATAATACAAAATTTTCCACAACCATAAAATTTAGGACTGTGGTCTTCTAGATGTTTACAAGTGTTTCAAAGGAACCTATTGTCTCCATCCATGTTGAAGATGGGGATGGTAAAGTTCCTCCAAAATTTTAGTAAACCCTTGATAGGTTACAACCGATGAGAAAATATATTTAGTGAAGTTCGCATATTCCATAAAACCTGCACAAAATATTATTCCCTCTTTAATTTATTATTTAATACCACACATAAGAAGAAATAGAAGCAAAAATTATAAACAATTACGTGAAATTAAATACTATAATTATTAGTCCTTACATATTTTGTACACCTCCTTCAGAAATGGCAGATCCTCTGGATGATAAAATTCAAGAACAGATTTTCCCAGCATATCATGGGGCAGATAGCCAAGGTATGGCACACTTTCAGGATCTACGTAGCTCAGCTTACATGATGCAAGATGGCACATGACAAACTTGGGAGACTTACACGTTTCCCCTGCATCTACATAGTACAAATAGTAAAGTAAAGTAAAGCTGTCCCACTATACACCATGCAGGCACTTGGGGGGAGAGGCAGGGAGATAATTCTTTTAATATTAATTTGCAAGTTGTTAAAAAAGTTGCTTCTCTTTTCTTTTGTTAGTAAATCAGTTAACTAAATCTGAAAGTACAGCTAACAGTCCTTGCTTATGGGTTATTTGAAAAACATTTTTGCTTCAGGATCATTTCTAAAAGCATTTTATACAACTACAAAATCTCAGTTTCTTACATTTACACTCACATTTATAGGCTGAGGAAATTAGTTTTGCAGTAATAACAAGAAACATGTTGTTACATCCTCCAGAGAGACCTTCTGGATCTACGTTGCCTTCCTGGTCTGGAGGAGTATTCTGAGCTACAAACTCCCGGAATGTCATATTCAACTGGAAAGGCAAGTGTGAAACCTCCTTCTCTGTCACACAAGAACCACTAGACCTGAGACCTCGATACCTTCGCAAGCAGCAGTAGAAAGAGTTCTTTCCAGGGTGGGATGCGCCTGGGACACATTTTAAACCCGTTAAAATACAACTTGCCTATTCGCATTTGTAAATATTATACAAGAAACAGAACTGTCCACTAATGGTAGAAATAAGAAATTACATAATTAAAATTATTTGTTGCATACTTTCATATTTCATAAGAAAAAAGTGGTTAATGCCACATTAATTACTTTGCATATGGTAACCCTTCTGTATATTTAATCAAATGACATGTTTTTATGTACATAACATTAATTTAAAAATTAAATATAATATCTGAAAAAAGAAAAAGGCAAAAACCAAATTCTTCAAAATAATCTCTTATTAAACTGAAATTATTGTACAAAAATAATATAATTTAAGGACTAAAATTCAGCCTTGAAAATTAATGACACTTGATGATATGTTCTTTGGTGCAGTATACAGAGAGTTTAAAGTTTAATTGCAAATATAAGCATATCATGTGAGTAGTAATACATTCCTTGCTGATATATTTTCATGAAACCGGCTCATAAAGGCATTTTACACAGCATACCCAATGAAGTGTTTTTAAAAGTGTACACACTAACATCTTACAGATTTAACTGGGTTCATTACACTCCCAAAATAATGTACCTTTTTTATGCATGTGTGTAAGAGGTGTAACAACACCAGATGCAATGTGACTGGTAAATGCGGCTCGATGTTTGGGATGAATAAAATCTATAAAGGAACGCCCAAGCCACATGTCCTTTGGAAATCCCACAACATCAGTGATGCTAGGTGTAGTAAATACGACCATGCCATCTTGCATTGACACAACCACACAGAATTCACCCTAAAACAGAAAATACAGCACCCAGGGCACAGCGTCATGTCTGGGGCTCCATGCCCCAAACATGTCAAAATGAGGTTCTGAAAATGGAATTGTATATGTGCGTGCATATACACAACTTCAAGGTCAAATCACGTTGCAATGTGAAGTTGTCAGAAACGGTTTTAAGTGTAAATATGCACTATGTTTTAAAGTACATACATCAGTAAAATGAATATGAACTTGAGAATTTCAATTGAGATACTAGCATGCATTTTGAATTCAACTGGGCATCTATTTTATTATTGTTGAAGTTGTTAAACCATGTAAGTAAACTACAATCCATAATATCGCTATAAGCTGTCATAATCCCTGCGCCTGAATTCCTTCCACTAACACAGCACAATTATGAAATGTTGATTTAAAGAATGTTTAACAACACAAGGAAGTACATTTTAATTAATTTTAGTCTCTTCAAATTATTAATTACAAAACCATAAAAACAGTTAAGTGACACGCATTCCCCATCAATTTTAACAGCCTTCATTTTTATAACTCAAATGACCTTTTTCTTTCTGAAAAATATCAAAAGTAAGTTCCAATTTACATACGATTGTTCTTTAATTATAAGGAGATTTATGTTCAAATGTTTCCATTGAAGCAGACAAGGACAAAGAAAGAACAAAAAATTTTCATTTGTACTTTATGGAGCCTAAATTTTGTATCATCATCCATGATTGAGTTTCAAGCATTGCCCCTCCATAGCAAAAAATCCAAGCAGCATTTCAGGCATTAAAGCTCCTATTCATAAACAAATTTCACTCAAGATTTCTACTCCCTTACAACAGAATTAAATAATACTAAAACTCATAAATATGATAAAATGTCAAATGTTCAGGAGAAAAGCAACACTGTAAGGGATGTAGGGCAGGTACTGCAGTGATCCTCAACCAAAGCAGTAAAGATATTTGTAGCACAGAATTATTTATCATGCTGTTCATTCTTTAAGTCCGCCACAACACTTCTGCGTTCTATTCTGCACAGTCGGAAGACACAGACAGACATCATCAAGACCTGAACACTTTCTAGTCCAAATTACATGCGACTATATTACTGTATTACAAAATAATTTTCAATAAAGCCAGATGACAGAATTTTATGAAGAAACTACGAGAAGCAGATGCCGCTAGATCGAGTATGTGCAACCCATGCCTTTGGCCAGATTACCTGTTACAATTTTCTTTATAAAACCCTCATTTAATATATTTTTTATTTATCTGTTCTGTGCCTTGCTTATTTTATTACAATAAATTCTGAGGTCTTGGCTTCACACTATTTCTGTGCAGTGTGAGAATCCAGATATCAGCTTAAGCCCTAGTGTAGTGTAGAACTAAATACAAAATTAATTATTTTCCTTCTTGCTTACATATCACGAGCTTAACAGTTTAATAACTATGTCATCATCTTCACTACCAAATTATTATTGACTTATAGGTCAAATATATGCTGGTAGCCTACACTCCATCGAATATCTAATGTTCTGATAAACTTCCATTTTGTTTCTTAATGCAGCAATGGCTCTGTTTATGCATTCTCATAACTGCTGTCTTATTTCTGGCTTACGAGTATGGTATAACCTAGACTTCACGCACCACCATAAAGAAGTTCAATGCGGTCACGTCCGGTGATCTGGAAAATTGGTCCAGATTTTCCTATCCATCTTCCCTGATAATTTGTTTATCTCCCAAAATGCAGTGACAGTCTTATCATATTCCACATGTGTCTTCTTGATTGAAGAGGAATAATTTCTAAATTAAACCGCAATTCGCTCTCCACAAAATGTCTGTGAGAAGCAGTTATCAGTGTCCCTCGATGAAATGCAAACCACAAAGATTACTATTCACTGTTCAACACCATACATTCACCAAAAATCTTCGTTTCAATTTACTTTGCACCACCTCACGTAGATTTTTGTGCAATACTGAATATACCTTCGTAGAGAAATTGAGCAGAGCTACGACCAAAACGTGATCATAAGCTGTGGTTGTCCTGCAAGCTATACCAGATACCCAAAAAATTGTTCATGGTTGGCACATTCTTCTGGTAAAGTAGTTGTACTTTATAGATGTGGTAGGGGTAAAGGCAGTTACCATACGAAGTCCTCGATACCTGTGGTCATGGAATACTAGTCTCCGCAGAGGTTATGTGCCTCTGTCGTATCATTTCTGATCAGATTCTGCATTGTTCAAGGTAATCAGTCTCTTCAAAAATGTTGTGTACACTGTGAGATGTGTTCCAGTGTTTAACTCCAAAATTGAGAAAGTGCTGCACATATTTTACTACAGCAGTCATACCAATTCTATTAAAACTCCACATCCAAAATGCATATCAGCATATTTCTTATGTATAATTGTGAAAGACATTAAACTAACACTTCTGTACAACAGAAAACACGCTAAACCGAGGATAAATCTGTTACAGTGGTGTTGACGTGCTACAGTTCACAACAGCAGCTTGGAAAAAAAATATAAACCAAACTATTGCTTTCAAAAACGACATACAGAATACGCTTATCATTACACTGAGATGATCTGTACAACCAAATAATTTCCATAATCTGCAAGTCACCATTTATTGGCATAAAAAGTATGCAGTATCTTGAATTAACTGTCTCTAAGAGCGAACACCAGTAATATCTCTCTTTCTCTCTCTTCCACTTCAAATTTTCAAGATCTTAGTCTTAATTTCTATAACTTCAATTTGTACACTTATGAATTTTTAATACCAAGACTTAATAAACACAATTGCAAGTAAATTGTTAATGAATATTAATGTTATCACTGTGATGTCAAAGATATACCCAGAAAAAGCACATGTTAGTAACAAACACGGAGTATTAGTAACCATAAGGTTAGAATCAGGCATGATAATCCTCTAAGACTACAGCAAAGTGTACGTAAAACCATTATATAATCATATTCACCACACAGGAAGTGTGTTTATACCCGTGCTTTCCTTATGCAAGATTGCCAAACTTCCATCACCAAAAATAAAAAAATGTAAGCAAGTAATAACATTGCCGAGGTTGCTCTTCATGGATGAGGCATGTCAACTTAATCCTTTCAGTGGTCTTTATAGTTCTGTGTCCCTTTTATTTGTTCTGATAAACAACTTCACAATTCTTTCATGGCTCATTCCTTCGGAATGGATTCTTCCCTTATTCTGTAAACTCTTCATCTTTTCTATATTAAATAAACTGTCGCACAGATTTTTAAAATATATTATTATAGCAGTTCAAGCCTGGATGAAGATGATATTGATATATTTTAATAAAAATGGCCTTATTTTATCCTTCTACATCATCTTTCATTTTGGTTTGGGGTTATGTAAGAGTTCCTGAGGCCAAATAATTCTTAAAATAAAGATAACTGGAAAATATGTCCTTTTTTCCCCCTTTCTTTCTGATCTCATGTTTCTGAACTTTCATCACCTGTTCTACAAACATTCTAAAAAATCTATACAATACCTTACTCTTCAACTGAAACTGAATAAAACCTACAAGTAAATAATTGAAAACAAAATACTGAACTCCCTTTCCTGTGTTAATCGCAAAATCGATTAACAGTGGCGACATTAATTATGCTGGATGTTCCATAAATGAAGGTGAAGACAAAATAAAAGAAAAAAGATAATATGTTTGCATACACAAAAAATTAATTCATGTAGCGTGTCCTACCACGACTGCACTTCTATTCCAGTCCTGTTCCTTGCAACTCACAGCCCACATTACCTCTGTGAACTCGATGGCAGCTCACCCTTTACTTCCGTCGCATCTCCCTCCAACACGAAGAACTAAGAACTCTCTGTTACAGTTCCATAACAAAGGAAATTGCATACAAACAACATTCTTTATATTAATGAAACCTTGCATATGCACGTCTCAGTAAAATCAGGTATTACTATCACTGAGAATTCCCGTTACCACAGAAAACATCTGCACCCTCAAGATATCTGTCTTCTGGGTTATTGCACCCTGATGATGGAGGCAACATGGACCTCTGAAACGTTGGTGGACATCTACCAGACTGCACGGCAAAACAACCCAGAAGACGGAAATATTCAGACTCACCGCCATGAACACCTCAAATCCTACATATCTGTACCCTCATTTTACGTTAACCAAAATGCCTGAAATGCACAAATTGTAATTCCATAAATGAATAAAGAAGGATTAAACCCAAAACATGTTTGAACCCAATATGATAAAATCTGTCCATACTGGGAGTATTTAATTAATGAGCATAATACTGAAATCAGTTTACAAATTAAAAGCAAATCCTTGATTATCTGGGCTAGATGAAAAGGGAAAAAAAAATCAAAATAAATATATATATATAAAAATACAGGGGAAAAAATACTGACTACATTTAATGTAAAACAAAAGTTGTTATTACAGAATGCTCATTGTCAAGGTCCGAAATCCCTATTGTGGGACGATGCAAAACAATCTCAAGCGCGCAAAAGGCGAAACTACCCCTGTGCTTATGCAGCATGCCATGAAGGCCTGTGTGACTGGCGGACATAAATCACCGTGCCTCGTTAGCCTGAGCACTTCGAGGAGGTGAGCGACCAGTTTCAGACTCCAATTGCTTTAGTTCTGAGAACAGACATCTATGCATTCCAGACCCCCAAAGACAATCTGAATATCGTGGCAGAGATAACAATTCTGCCACTGCTGTAAACTTAACCACTCTATCCCTGCCCTTTAACGAGCAAGTTCAGACATTCTTTGTAAACTTGAAGAGTTCTTGCTATCATTCAATTCAGAATCACTTGTCTTTCCATCTCCTGTCTAAAAACATAAAAATTAAGAAAATTATAAACATAAATTATAAGGCTTACCATCCACTGTATACACGTACACGTGAACTGTTGTTGACAAAAAAAATGGCCAAATATGAACGAAACATCTTCAGCAGCACAAATGAACTGGATATCATCCACTGTAACACATCTTTATTCATACTAACACGACAAATAATCGTGAACGATGACTGATCCCATTACGTTGAGATTTTTTGCATGTTTTTGGAGAAATCACGGTTCACATGAACGCAAAGCCAGTGGATGAGAAGCCTTACTCTACCTGTTACTTGTACGGATGTGAAAATTAGGCTCCAATATTATGGAAAGGACTGAGGGCGTTTGATGACATTTGTTGAAGAGTAACAGGAGGACCAACACAAATACAGAATGACAAAATTAATAAGCTGAATGCTTCAAAATGAATACTACTAAGATGACAAAATAAAAGGCAGATAACATGGGTAAGGTTATAACATACATCGTAAATGAAACAAAAATATACACATAATATTAGCTAGAAAAACCTGAAGGAAAGAGACCACTTGGGAGACCAAGGTGTAAATGGAAAGATAATACATATTAAATAAACATAGTTTGAGGGTGTGGACTGCATTCAACTGGCTCAGGATAGGGTCCAGTAGCAGGCTCTCGTAAACGCAGCAATGGACAGTGAATGTAAAAGTCTGGATAATTACCGACCAGATAAGCAGATTCACATGAAGAACTCTGCTCGCGGAAGGAGTTGGTGATTAATATTAAAGAAAACATTAATGTATCGGATATACATTTTAAATATTAAAATGTTAGGTACATTCTGCTTGCAGTCACTTTTATATTCTTGTATGAATATAAAGAAAAAATAAATGCACCAGATTTTTTTTTACAAAATTGAAAATATGCCCATTAAAGAATCAAGAATTTACTTAAAATTTGTACCTGATTATGAGGTTAGACATTCCACTACCTCTGGGTGAGAATTTTGTTTGTGATAAATATTTATCTTTTGAAGAAAAAAATCACACTGTTTCAAAAATCTGAGGTTTTCACAGCGGTGAGTATGAAGATTACTGTCTTCTGGGTTATAGCGGCCTGTAGTCTGGTAGATTTCTACCAATGTTTCAGAGGTCACACTGCCTCCGTCATCGGGGCGATGAATTCATCTGAAACGTTGGCGGAAATCTACCAGACTACACGGCGCAATAACCCAGAAGACAGCAATCTTCAAATATACGTTAAAATCAGTGTTAGCTGCTTATAGTCGACAGCTCACTGCTAAAATCATAACTACCTAAATATGTGAAATTATACAAAATAATGGGTACATCAAAACAGAGACGAAAACAAAGTCACGAAAACTATTGTGATCCATGAATGCGTTGTGAGGTTACAGAAACAAATTAGGCAGCGCTACACAGCAACGTATATACAAAAATATGGAATTATTATCAGTTATGACAATTTACCTAATAAATGTTTTATAAAAGGTCATTTCAGCTGGAAGAGTGAATCAAGGGAATTAAAACCCCATTAATTTTAATCCAAATGTTAAGTGGTAAAATTATAAAATGGACAATGCGAACAGTAATATTCTACAGATTTTTTTTTTATAATTTATAGTTATTTTCTGAATTAAACATTACATACTTCATCTGATCCATAATAAGGATTAGCATAATGACGTAAGAAGGTACCTACACAGGTAAAGATTTCAAACTTCTAAGCACACATTAGATATCGCTACATAATCAAAACACGTAATTCAGGAGTGCACGTGCGCGGCACAGCCAATTATAACAATTTTATAGATGTACAAACAAACTACTTTAACAAAACAATTATAAAATAGCCATAGTTTGATTATATGCATCGATTAGATTCAGTTCAACGCAGACCTGAGCATAAATTAAAAAACATGGACATTAATAAAAACAGATAAAATATAAAATCTACATTAAAATATGAATAGTACGTCGAGGAGATTACTGGATAAAATAAAACTTTAAGATAACACCGGACTAGCTATAAAATTATATCAATTAAATATTTTAAAATAATTTCATTACTGAACTCCCCACAAAATAAGTTACCTCATTTTTTGCTGATGATTCTGGTTCAAAACTGCTAATAATCATCTCTTCCTTTTCCTCAGGCTCTACAGGAAGAGATAAATGATGGGCCTCGATTTCTTCGGTGATTTCTGTAAAAGTACGTAACAAAAACTGTAATTTGTATTACTGATGGTTGGAAATTAGAAAATACAATAGTCACGTGGCATTGGGTTCAGAGTTTCGTGAATAATAGACAGTCGGCTATAAATTTATTATGTGGGCGGGGAGGGGGGCAGAACAGGAAAAGGGGGAGACATTGGCTTAGGGAACCCAAAGGTTCATCACCGAATTAACCAGAGCCCTCCACCGGACCCTGTCCTGGGCCGGCAAACAAATGTAAAAGCCCTTGAGAAGTGGCGAGTAAAAATCTTAGTAGAGACGCTACGACATCCGAATATCTAAATCCTCACCTACTGGAAGATCCTTAGGCTTTTGTAACTTCTTCACACAAGTGAGTAAGGCCATTTGAAGGGTTTCATTTGAAGGGCCTGTTATGGTGGCAGGTACCACCCCAGCAGCTCCCAAACCAACCCCAGCGTGGCTGCTAATAGAATTTCTTTCGCTGCCACCCCCTGGGATATCTGTCTCCACAGCAACAGCAAGTGGCACGGGAACTGTCGCCCCAGCAGCGGCCAGAGAAAGATGACTGGCCACAACATTTTCATGTTCTGCTAAGGGCGATACTACGGAGGAAACAGCAGATGCGACTACTGCAGTTGAAGAGGACTTTAAATTCTTCTTTTTGTGCTCCTTGCATTTTGTGACCAAAGGCTGAGGAAATGATTCATTGCTAAAAACAAAAGTAATGTGAAAAGTTCAGTGGTCATAAATAAATAAATGCATTTTAATTCTTAATTAATATCCACCAAAGTAAAAAAAAATACCATTTTTTATGGTTTAGTGTTTTCAATATTTCAAGATACCCAAATTCAAAATGAGTGTTTCACGTATTGCTAAAAAAAATAAAATTATGATAATCTATTTACAGATCTTATACATCCATTAGACTTTTAGTAAACACAATTACAGGAAGATACTAGTTGCCGTATTACATGCAAATTACACAAAATAAATTTACATAATACTCCAAGACTTTCAGCTTATCTATTTATTATTAAGCCCATAACAGAATTATTTCTTTAGTTACTTAACTGTAACATTAATTATTTTAATTCTTTCTTAACAGTGACTATTTATATTTATGCAACCTCTTTAAAAACCTCTCTCTATAAAAGAGAAATGCATAAAAGACATTCTTATAGCCTTTGATAACCACGTAATAAACGTTCTTAAATGGATGCGTAACATACGTATGAAATTAATCGCAAACGTAATTAAATATGTTAAATTTCTGCATTATATCATATTTTGATAAGTCACATAATAATTCAAAATAACAGTATCAAACCAAATCTTCATCTTTTAGAACAAAAAAGTAACCAACATTAATTTTATTTAGATACTTACCCACTGCTTTGCATAGAGGGCGTATGACCGCCATAACCACTGCTGCCACTTGAAATGCTGTGTCGAGACTTGGAACTACCACTGCTGGATTCAAACAACATGTGTCTGTTACATATACTAACAGAAACAAAAACCAAAAATTATTACACCACCATCCTTCGTCCTCTAACCTGTTTCAAATTATGAGACGGAAATTTTGAAATTCTAAATTCTAACCACTTTGAACGCAGAGCATGTTAGTCAAGAAAAACGGGTACCGGCAATTATTATCCAGCTTAATTCATCATTACGCAATGGACAAGTTTAATCAAGGTAAGTTACTGGTAAAGAAATTGCTACGACAGCCTTTGCCGAGTGCCGAAGACCTCAGAATTCTGAAAGGAGGTCAAGGTATTGTAAGAATAAGAATGAATAATATGACATACTTTCAAAGAAACTTATGTGGAACAGGGGCAAAGTATTTCCACACAGTTATGTTATAAATAGACAGCTCTAATGAACTATCTCCACAGAAAAGTCTTACTTTACAAGCTGAAGGTTGCTCAGCTGGACAAAAAATTATGTTCCTGTCAGGGAGCCCAAAAGTTCTCTACCACATTCACAAGAGGCCACCATTGCATCATATTCTGAGACATTTCAATCCAATTCACAATCGAACACTGTTTTTTTTTTATGATCAACTTTAAACTTAACCTAACAGTCACGCTGAAGCTCCCAAGTGGTATCCTCCTTTCAGGCTTTCCTTGTAAACTTTTGCATAACCACTTACATAGTTTTGCAACCCAGACAACAACCAACATCCTCACTGTGACAACCTCAAATCATAGATTATGTAAAAGGATCCCTAAAAAACCTACTTTAATAATGTTTTTGGAAAATGAGTGTGTTCAGATTCTCACCTTCTTTGAGACTGACTATTGCTGCTTTTTGAATACGCTGAATCAGAGATCGTTGTGTTGTGGGTAACAGTTTCCTCCATACTGGATCTTGAAAAAAAAAATCACAACTCTTCAAATGGTTACAAGTAAAACCTGTTATTTAAATATTAAGTAAACTTTTTCAAAAAGCACAATCAAAATAAGGCCAGAGCTGATATAATCACTCTTCCAGCCAAGAAATTCCATTTTACATGCCTCACCCACCTCAAACTCCATGATTTATTCACCTAATAAATTATGATACTCCTCCTCATCTGACTTCCCCTCACCCACCTTCTATCTCGTCCCTCAAGCACCATAATTAAAAATCGATTTTATGGATCCCAATAAATTTTTAGACACTTTTCTCCCAGCCAAAACTTCACAAAACATGACAAAGTTAATTAAGCCCTTAAGTAAAATGACCCTCCAACGTGAATTAAACTTTCTTCCGTCATGAGGATTTGGTGATTTAAAGCTGGTATCACGGTCCAGGATCGCTCGTCCCCGTGCCGGAATTTGAACCCGGGACCTTCCAGATATATATTTAAATTCTCCTTTACTATTGGCAGTTTGCTCAGTGACCAAAATTTTCTGTGCATTTTGAGAACATTCAGGAAGTTCAACACTACGACGTAATATACTGCGATCAGAATAGAAACAAAATTGTCTCATAGATGTCTCTCACCGTTGCGCATTCTTCATATTACGTAACCCATGCCAACTTTCAGGGTCATCGTAGAAGAAGGCGCCTCCTACCCCGAGAATTTCATCCTACGTTAACATCCAAGGCCTCAAGTCGGATGTAACCCTCTCAGGGTTTCACACATTCAACACCTGTTTCAATTACTATTCGTAAGTTAAATTAGCGAACTAACCAACCCCATGAAGCAAAATTCCTCTTTGAAGAGCGAACAGTTGCTCAGCTCGTCAAGAAATCCCCTGCCTATTAAGAAACCCCAAAATGTTTCGGATGGAGGCAGCAAGTTCCTCCACAATGCTGATATGCACATACAAGTCCGCAACAAATTACAACCCAGAAGAATAACAACTAACATTTTCACTGTCGTTAAAATCACGGGTATCTTATGGTTACCACTACACAGACTTCCAAGTTTGCAAAATATTTCGCATGAAAAATGCGACTGGGGAATTTTGCAAGCAAGGTTATGTAGCTTACAAATAAAACTTCATGTTTACTTTCTTACGAAATGGCTGACTGTAGCAGAAATGTGGGAATAAATTTACAACGAAGTTCCCAAAATTAACTGAGCAATTATTAGCTGAAAACAATTTTATGGTCGGATACATTTCATATTTGTGGGGGGTAATTAAGCACATAGAACATAATAAAGATAACATAAACCCTATAATCAATGTGAAAATTCCACTTGAATATATTAAATATTTGGATTAGCGCCCTGATGATGGAGGCAGTAAGCGCCTCTGAAACGCCGGTAAATTTCATATAGCATATCAAATGTGTAACCTTGCCTGTAGGGGTTGTATTTTTGAAATATTAATTATACAAACGCAAATCAACATATGAACACTTTTAAGTATGAAGTCCACCGTGTAACATTTAACACTGCCACATCTCATTCATCGTTAACTAAAAACACTACCAGTAACCATTTTAAGAAATGATTTTCATAAATTATCACTCACAATAACACAAAAAAATACTGAAAGAGATACATAACCGTGCGTCACCATGGTAAAGTAACCAATTACCTGGTTTCGAAGCAACAACAGGCTGGATCATTTATCAGTCTTGATTTCTAGATATCTAGGTGCACACTAAACTTTTGTTGTAATGAGTAACTCGCTGTTTACTTCATGTTCAAATTAGGTCGAGGTCTTAATCACTTCACTTAATTGAAAATCGCTGATAAAACACTTGTCACAAAGTTATCGCCTACTTATTAATGCAAATCTGTATTAATTATAGTAAATACTCGAAAGATGAGAGCGTTTTCATTACTACTGTACAACCAAGCCAACATCTTCTACGATACTACGCCGCCTTCTCCTTCTCGGTTCAACAGTTCCTGCCCATCCGATCACGTACCGATACACGTGAGTTGCGCGTCATACCAACTCACACACTTTCCCACTAGCGTCCGCAGAAACAAAATCCCCTATACAAAGCAGAACAAATGGCCTTGTATATTACTCTAAAATTAAGATATCGCATATATTGATTCTAATTATAATCTTAATTCTGATTGTAATTCTTCAAGTATAAAAAATATAATTTACCAATTTTGTTTGAACAGTATGCAGATACATTTTGTGGTTCGTGACTTCAACATGCACGTTACAAGTTCGCATTTGGTTTGGATCAAAATACCGTCCTGTAGACTGACTCAATTAGGCCTTTGTATAGCCGCAAACTTTTACGAAACATGCGAATTACAAACATTCTAAAATAATTCTGTCCATGACTCATTAAAAAGCATGGAAGTAACTGCATGAAGCAAGGTTTGTGAAGTTCGCTGTCGTCCTCACAAAGCTCGTCTTTGAAACAATAATGCCATCATGATAAAAGACATTGAATTCATCGCCTGGCAATAATTTTTGCAGCCTACTGGTAAAAATCAGTAAATAATAATAATAATGTCAGTTCTTACAGCACAGAGAACACAAATATTTAAACTTAGTAAATGAATTTAACATTCTTCCGCCAGCGATGGCATAAATTACCCTTTATTTTATTATTATTTAGTGTTCTGTCTGACGACAGGTCCATATGAACAGGATCCTTCCATCCTTTTCTCGGTCTGGGACCTGTTCATATACGTTCTTGGCAGATGATCCAGAAGTGGTTTGCCATTGCCTTCTTCTGTGTGTGAATGGAGTAATTGTTGGGATGCCACGGAGGAAAACTCCGTGTTGCCTAGACCACGGCCTTGCCCAACACAAGTTATAAATTCGGGCACCGCCGGGAATCGAACCCGAGACCCCAGGATTACAAGGCCAGCGTTCTAACCGCTAGACCACCGTGGCTGTCCAAAATTACCCTTACGTTCCACAAAGTCCAATAGTAAAGATGAACTTGATGCAAGCTACAAGCTTGTCACGTGGATAAATTTGTTTTATTTGTTGAATGTTGCAAAAGACAGCATCCACGTTGACTTACATAACTGAGAAAGAGATTTCTTTCTGGGGATATTTTTGTGATTTTATTTCCAGTTTCAGTAATATCAGTACTTGTCAGCCTCACGTTCCATTTCTCTCATGGGTTATCAACCAGCGGGCCGCGGGCAGCATGCAGCCTGCCGATATACAGGGTGATTCAGAAGTATGTTTACAAACTTCGTGTGCGTGTTCCTGGATTAAAAATAATAAAAATTGTTCCTATGAACATGAGGTAGCAAATGTTTCACTTTCGAATTAATATCCAAAAATAATTTTCAATGCATGCCTTTATTGCCAAGTATAAGGAGAGGGATGTTTCTTTATAACAGATGCTCAAAGGTTGTTCCTCCATTCTCCACACATGCCCGAGCACGACGTACAAATTCTTTCGTACACTCCAGGGTTTCCTCGAATCATCTGTCACGCAATCTGCACACGTTCCAATAGGTCGTATTCATTGTTTTTGGGTGTTACATAAACGACGGACTTCAAGTGACTCCACAGATAAAAGTCCAATTGAGTCAGGTCAGGTGACCTCGGTGGCCACCGCGTCCAATACGTCGCTGAGAGTACTGTTCATTGAGTAATTAAACAATTTCGTGTTAATTTTCCTTCAGTACTTCATAATTACTTTAACCTCTTTCTAAAATATTAATTATTACTATTTTTAATTAATTAATATTGTCCGTCTAATCACAATTTAAAAATTTAAAATTAAGATAATTAAAATACCATGTGATGCTCCTTATCGAAACATTCGATTTACATTTAGAACATCACTTTCTAACTACATGTTGCATATAAGAAATTATGATTAAGTTTTTAAGTTTATATAATTGTAATTTTTACACACCTGAAGATGGTTCATCTAAGAACCGAAACATGTGGTGAGAAAGTGATGTTCCAAATGTAAATCGAATGTTTCGATAAGGAGCATCACATGGTATTTTAATTATCTTAATTTTAAATTTTTAAATTGTGATTAGACGGACAATATTAATTAATTAAATATATATTTTCACAATATGACGCAACTCTATCATCTTATTACTTAATTTTAAATTTTTAAATTATGATTAGACGGACAATATTAATTAATTAAATATATATTTTCACAATATGACGCAACTCTATCATCTTATTACTATTTTGTTTAAAAAAATGTTAACTGCTGAATAGTTTTGAGATACGTCACTTCTAGAACCCTAGTTTATCTGATCTCACTATTGGATTTCCTTCCACTTGAATCTATTGAATAATTTGTGTTACGTCACACTGGAATTCAAAGCCGTGAACATATACCCAGGTGGCCTTGCTTCCACGGCAACCGATAGACCTGTGGTCACGTTGTAACAACAGGTGTTTACAAAACTGTAAGAAAAAACGCCTTAGTACAAGCAATAATTTGAATTTCAATCGACAATGTCAGAAAATGTGACTAGTCAGTTTCTAGTAAATCAATCGAGTCATCCAGGCAACCAGATAGTTAATTAACAAATCTGACAGACAGTCAATCAATTTACGAGTCCGAAGATGGTTGTCTTCTGGGTTGTTCCGCCGTGTAGCCTGGTAGAAGTTTACCGACGTTTCAGATGTCCTTGCTGCCTCCATCATCAGGGCGATAATGAAGGCAGCAAGGAACTCTGAAACGCCGGTAAACTTCTACCAGACTACACGGCGGAACAACCCAGAAGACAACCATCTTCGGACTTGTGGCCGTGAAAATTTCAAATCCTACATATAATTAATTATTATTAATAATTAATTAAATTATTGATTAAATATTACTATTAATCTTTTTAGAGTCCAGTAGCTATTCAACACTGCTTAACTCGCTCCAGGAAATCGTATTCACATTAAATCCGGTTGAATAGTCGATGAAGAGACTTGCGCTCTGATTTCTCCATTCCCAAAAGCCTAAGACGAACGGGCACTGCCTGGGAACCTTCATAACGAAAAATGCATGGTTTCTTTTCCTGTTAAATTTAGTGTCAATAGTCTCTCTTCATTTTCTCGTCTGTCCCATTCGCTAAAGTTCATGATGGTGGCAACTACGTAACTTTTTCATCAACATAACTTGTTTTATTTATTTCAGGTCATAATAGACAAAAGTCCATAAAAAATAAGAATCTAGCAAGGATCTGATGTAGGCGTACACACGTCACATAATAATTTCATTATTATTGCATTACGTAATATGGATTACATATAATTGTACCAAACAGCTGTATTTTACTATTTTAATCTGTAATCTGTGGTCCTGCGGTTAGAACGCTGGCCTTGTAATCCTGGGGTCTCGGGTTCGATTCCCGGCGGTGCCCGAATTTATAACTTGTGTTGGGCAAGGCCGTGGTCTAGGCAACACGGAGTTTTCCTCCGTGGCATCCCAACAATTACTCTATTCACACACAGAAGCAGGCAATGGCAAACCACTTCTGGATCATCTGCCAAGAACGTATATGAACAGGTCCCAGTCCGAGAAAAGGATGGAAGGATCCTGTTCATATGGACCTGTCCTCAGACAGAACACTAAATAAGTAAATAAAATCATAATTAGTTACGAGTTATTTAAATGAAATGTTTTTCTGGCAAAATTCTAGTACTTAAAACAATGATCGAATATAATGTTATTATTTAGTTTCATGATTTTGTAAGAAATAATTTATGCTGAAGTTGCACCCAAGTTCACTGTAACGATCTGCTTTATTCTATAAATTAATTCTATTGCAAATATGTGACAAAATATGAAATGTTTTATTCCGTTCTTACCATTTTATACTGCAACTATATGAATTTAATTAAATTTAGAAACAAAAGTCTTTATGGAGTTATATTTAGTTTACCAGAAGCCAGTTGACTCCACTGCTATTATTCTGTGATGGAAATCTTCAAAAGGTCATTGTGAAATCACGTTTGCACTTGTAGGGAAGTTCTGAAGGCGTGGATTGAATTAATTTGGATTCATAGGGAAGGTTGGAGGTTTCTTGTGAACACGGTAATGAACCTTTAGGTTCCATAACACACCGGAAATATCTTCACTAGCTGAGCGTATTATTATTAACTTCTCCAGAATAACTATGATTCATGAAGTTGGTTCATAACGATATTACGCCGTGAAAAGTGTAGAAATTAATCGACTTACAAAAAGAGTAATGATATTTTCACACCACTGTGAGAACGTGCAAACATTTCCATTTCTAGAACTCTTTTATTAAACGAGGCTATTTGTTTCCATGACAGATGTCTAAATAACGTGCAGCTTTGTTCTGTCTGGAGACCCTCAAATGCAACGTGACATCTTCCCCCTTCCGGTCAGTGGGGTTGCACGCTGTTACGAAACCCAACCGTGCTGAAGTTACTAAGCGTTTGGTCTCCTTCTAAAAGCCAATTTACTCAACTCCTCGAAGCAGAAACTCGTCTAAATAATATTTAAGAATCAAGTCCGTACCGCAAAGAAAACACAACCCTTCACCATTACGAAAATCAAGTGGTTGATGCAGTTTATGGAAATAACGATTATTTTAACTATAGTTTAATGTGATTCTCAAAGTAAACAGCGATCATTTCCTTAAACAGCGTTAACAAGTTGATCTTTGTAATGGTGAAGTGTTGTGTTTTCTTCGCGGTACGGACTGGATTCTTAAATATTATGTAGATGAGGTTCCTGCTTCGAAGATTAATAAGTTGGGCTCACATCCTAGTGCCCTGACTCGTGATGAAGCTACACGCATTGTCAGACAGACATCACGTGTACAACACACGTGAATCCACACCTCACGTGCACGGATCACCTCTCCCGTTGGCTCAGGAATTTTGACCTAATCATTTGCTGTCATACTTTCACTCCACGGCATTCCATTCAATGTCAAACGTAATCTAGACGAATTGCTGGCGGGATATTTCTCGTTCTTGCACGGTTCACAGAACTAAAGAATGCTAGACAATGCTCTATAAAAACCTTTAAAATGTCAGTAATAGATACGTATTCGACAGTGTAAATTTTCATCGGTAAAGGCAGATTTTAATAAAATCCACTTGGGCCATCAACCTCGTTAAAACTCGCCGACGTTTCAGGAACCATCTCTGTCCCCATCATCAGGGCGTGTGATGCGACAACAGACGTCCTGTTGACAGTGAGGCGAGATTTAACTAATTGGCACAGCTGATAACCCGAGAGGATTTTATTAATTCGATCTTCCGTCAAAGTTTCAGATCACACAAAATGTTGGTGTCTTCTGCGATTTTTTTTTTTTAAACCAAGGTACATAACACAACCGAAAGATATCTAGTGGTTAGCATTTCGTATTCGGTAGGTCCCGGGCTCAAATTTGGGCCCAGAAAAGTTATCCTGATCGAAGTTATTCTCAGTTAACATCATTTAACAGATGAAGGCTACTTAAAATTTTGAAGCCAAAGCTCACCTATACAATATTTAAGAACTCAGCCCGTACCGCAAAGAAAACATTAAACTTCACCATTAAAGAGATAAACTGGTTAGCGATGTTTATGGAAATAGTTACTGTTAACAGTGTGAATCATACAAAACCCATAAATACAAAACTGAAAAGGTTGCTGATCGTAAAGCAGCTGGTATATATAGTTACCATTAGGTTTTAGAGGGTTAACGATGTTTGTTTACGTACACAGATTACAAATCGTGTCGAATGTTAGAATGACTGTAAACGACAAATTATAACATGTAGAAGGAAGTGGCAGTGGATTATTTTTAATCACCAAATATTGTTGGAATGGTGATGGAATAGTGATATCTCGGGAAGCGATGAGAAGTAGCTATATTGTACTAATCGATAATCAAATCAGTCACGTTCTCGTTGCGCCTGCCATCTGTACACTGAAAATGTTAATACTACAAATTCTGTTCCCGTCGGCTGCAGCTCAGTCGATCTTGGGGCTCTCCATCCTCTCAGCAGATGCGAAAAAATTAGACGAACATTTTCAACTTTATCATATGAAATTAGATGTTTATAAAAATTTAAAACATGACATGAACATTCCCATTTCTTCCAGTATCCTTTGGGTTCGACTGTGGTATTCTCATGTAAAACCGCGTTAAAATAGGAGTTTTAATTACTTAAATTATTAATTAACTTATTTCTAGTAGGTTGTTAAAGAAAATTAGGATTCTCATCGGAAATAAATCGATTTTAAGTCGATAATTAAGCGTAATAATTATAAGCAATGGTAAATTAGAGATGAATTAAGCTTCGGAGAGGATGTTTTATTCTGAAACAACAATCAATACTGAGCGTGCTATGTTTCGGAAATTATTTGGGTTATAAAATTTAAACATGGCCATAATTTGTTAGAAAATCTTGTATATTCACGTTTTAAAATACGACTATTCTATAGGGAAATATGAATTTCATTTAAAGTGAATCAGAACTGTAATGGAATAAAGAGTTATATTTGCTATAATACAGCCATGATTTTCAGATTGAGATAAAAGGATTTATTTTTAATATTGAGTAGATCTGTCCCACAGGGTTCCATCTTCATCTTATCATCATCTCACGGGCTGAAACAAAATAGAAAACATATTTTGTAGCAAAAATTGGTCCTTCAATTGTAATCCACGTTTCGATTCCTGGCATATTTACAGATGCCTTACAAAAATGTGGACACCAGGTAATAACTTTAAGTACGACCGGCTCCTTCTGAATCCCTACTGTCCATTACCCACGATTATTTTTCCAAATCATGACACAGTATGTAACCTTTACAGTTGGAAAAACGTCGTTAAATAAGATACCCCGCTTTGTATCAGGGTGGTCTGAGGTTTGAATCTCTGTCGAGAGACTGGTTGTAGTAATTTGCGTGTTTTCAGATACTGACTAAATTTTTAATTGTAAAATTGTTACGTCAGCAAAGTACTTACTAAACTAGATGGGCTGGAGGATTGATGGCTTCTCGAATTCTGCCATCAATTTCGTCCAGTCTGTTCTCCAAGTGAGTCCTACGCCACAGGTAGTAATAGAAAGACTGGGTCACGGGTCCTGTCCAACAGGGTGTGCCAAAATGTAACAAGTTACAGGTTAAATCCTGTGGCAAGGCTAAGTTATTTGGGAACGACATTATTAAAAAAATAATTTAAATTCGTGATTAAGAGCGGGAAATGCACAGGCAAATTTGAATAAGAATTTGATAGCGTAGGGCCACCTTAAAAGCACAGGAAGAATGTTTGAGAAAAGTGGTCTGAGAAAATATTTATAACAAGGGAAGAAATGACTACAAAGTACACAATTTTGAGCTTCATATTTGTTATCAGGATGGTCAAATCCAGGATGACAAGTTGCGCGAATCAAGTAACACGCACAGGGAAATAAGAAATGCATACAAAATTATCGATGTAATATCTGGAGGTTAAAACGACTACTTTGGAGACATTGCTGTAGATGGGAGGATAATATTAAAGTGGATCTTGGTGACTGGCCTTACCGTAAGGTCGGAATGGATGTTCGTACCATCTGAAGGTGCTCTTCACGGGGGACAGGTAACTGCCCCTCAGATACGAAGGTAGAGCCTTTAATTCTTCGATGTGTGGGCGGAGGGAGGGGTATCTCCACCACCAGGGTTCGCGGGAGATCTTCGAAAAGGGATTTTCATCGAGAGGCTGTAGAAGATCCGACAAGGGACGACGCACGCCAGGAGAGTAAACAGGATGACCTGCAGCAAAGGTCAGGTCATGTCGTGTTAGAAGGAGGAAAAATCATTAAGACATCCAGAACCATTCGCTCTCACCAAATTTAGTTTATAAATTTTCTGAGTGCATATGGCGTCTTTACCTTCTTCAATTGGCGTCGGCTCCCTCACTCGTTGAACTCTGGGACGAGTCCTTGTAAAATTTTCCTCACACTGGTAAAGGTTTACGGTTTGATCCAGATGGTTCAGATTGGATTCTAAGGACTTCTTCGCATTCCTGAGTCTGAAGATTGGGTCTAGACATCGGACAAAGAAAAATTAGATGTAAAGTACAAACTTTAAAATTCTAATGTTATAATAAACTATAAATACACTGCTAAAGCAAATGGTATAAATAGGTACCACTGTCCTTAAAGCGTTAATTTTCCCGCCAACATTACCACACACACATTTAAATGGCGCAAGAAAGCGTTAGACAAACCGTTTTTTTATTTGAATAACATTAGACGTAACGGAATAACGTTCACTTGTTTATTGTTAGCAGCAAAGACAAATTTGCCCCTCACGCCATGAAATCGCCCAAACAAAGCTACTGGAATCCCAGATCTCGGCATTAGATGAAAGCGATTGGTTAATTTCACGTTCTGAATGATTTAAAATCAGCGAAAGATCCACTCGTTAGTATTATAGATGATTTAAGCCTTTTAGTTTTAATACAGATGAATGATTTTGCCTTAATGTTAGCAGTAGTCTATTATAAAGCTGCTGCAATTGTTATTAATGAAAAACCAACAATTGTTAAGCTTTAAATATATCAATATACTATAGCGTTCGAAGTCTATTAACAATTAAGCAATACAATGCCAAGCGATTATCCAGCAAGTTCCATAAGTAATGGCCTTACTATTGTTGAAGTCTTCATGTTGAGTTAGGACGTCCATTGTCCTCCGTGTCTATTAAATACATCACACACGTCCAAGATATAACTCGTAATAAAAGTTATTATAGTAATTGTCATCTTCTGCCATGGATTGGAACCTCTGACCTGTTCATAATTGGAACTGATTCTTAAACAATTCCGCCTTCAGGCGTTGGTACGACTGAATCCACTCCGTGACTAGGATTTTATTCTAAAATCCCAGATAGAAATTATTATGCAATCTATTGTTCTATGGATGTGATTTCCTCTGTGCAAAGCCGTGTAATATTCTAGCGTATCAACGTTCTAGAGGAACGTATTGTATTCAGCCCTGAAGATGGAGACTGTAAGATTCTCCGAAACGTTGATATCTTCCAACGTCGCCAAATACACAACAAGGTGTTCTTCTTAACACTACATATGTTACAAAAAAAATATATTTGCATCATTCTGAAAGACATATCTTCAGTTTTAAATTACCAGAAAATTAAAGGAATATAAGTTTTAGAAATGGATCACATGTTATAATGCCTATAAATTAAAATAATTCAGGAAATCAATGACAAATAAATGATTCAAATTCTTAACTACATTCAATACATACAAAGAAAACGTTTCGGAAGTTGAAAGTATTTTACAATAACGCGTGTAGACAGAAATCTTTTGTTTATTTGTATAAGGAATTTTACACACGTGTACAATAAATATGTATATCATTTGGTAATGGACAGATTATTTTACATACGATATTCATAAGCCAAAATAAGTTTAAAAAAATATATTACTTGTACATGATCAGATGTTAAAACACCATTTTAAGTGAATGTCATCACCTGACCTTGTAAATGAATTTCTGTCTTGGCAGTCGAATAAATAATCCTTGCTGCTGGTTGTGTTGAAGTAAAATGGCGTACGTTTCTGCTCATTGTTTCTTGTTTGCATTATATCAATCTCCGACTTCAGATATTTCTCTTTTATATTCCTTTGAATATGTTTCGAGTAAAAAGTTACTGAGTCTCTTCAGGACTAAGATATTAAAACCTGAAGTGAATTTAATCATACATACATTAGCTTTTATATAACATATTCCAAGTCTAATTTTTAAATTTTAGGAATCACGTCTTAACAGGTTGTTGAGACAACCAGTGGACGTAAACAGTCATCTATATTACAATGCTGTGAAACCAAACAAGGGATGACTCTTAATACGGAGAACATGTAGCTATGAATATTACTTTTTTTTAATGATTTACTCCAACAATGATGCATACATATAACATTCCAGTGGATAATTAAGGTTTGTTTAGACTTTATATTGGAATTATACATTTATAACCAACAGGTGACAATGAGTCCTTCTGCAAAATGGCGGGAGGAAAGGTTAGTTATATCCTGACGCGCATTCCAATGGAATTACTGAGTTAGTAATGAGATCCAAGAAGAAATAACACTAATTATAAGACGGATAACAAACGTGTGTTAACCAAATATGAGAAGAGTTAATTTAACTTGAAGAATTTTGATTTGTGTCAATTCAGAACAGGATACGTGAGTCTTTTAGCTCTTCAACACAACCAATGATCTGTAATATTGAAGTGGCGCTGTCTGGCGGGAGGTCAGAGAATCAGTAGATATGAGCTGGAACAGACAATAACAAATGAAGATATAATAGCGCAGGATACGAAAAACATACATTTTCTTATTCTTACAAATGTCCTTGAAGCTGAAACACACTGTTTCGGTCTGTTTTAACATTAAGGGCAGGCTTATTGCATCTGACTCTAACAGGTCTGATCAATTTAAGAAGTTTATACAAAACGTAAAATTACGTTAGCAACATACAAAATGTAAAATTCGCAAAATAATGTATAAAACCTGCCCACTTGTAATGTTTACAGAGACATGGACATCAAATGGATGACCTCAGCAATTCCAGAGAAAGAAACAAAATTCGCTTACCAAATGGCCTGATAGGATGTTGTCCCCATAGATAGGTCCTCTTGACGGGAGACAAGTAGCTGTCACGTAGATAGAAGGGACTCTTATGCCAGCTGAAGGGCAAAGTGTAAGGACGTAGAGAGGGGTAAGCCCACCACCAAGGGTCGCTTGTCAGTCGTGATAGAGGAAGGAAACTGGAAGGCTTAAACAGCTCCGTCAAAGGACGTCGCGTGTACCCTCCCCGATTGTAGATAGGCACACCTGCAAAACAGAAGTGAACAGTTCACCGGTGACAGAATAAGACGGCGTTAAGTTTAAAAATTACAACTGAAGTATAATCGCTAATTTACATCCTGTGCTCCGTATTAAGTATAAGAGCTAAGCCTTAAGTTAACTTGTATAAATTTTTTTTAAAAAAAAAATATCAAGCGAGATTCATGAGGACTTTCCGAAAATGGTTTTACGTTTCTTGAACTTTAAAGACTTACGCCTCTTTGCATTATACACTATTTTCCTCAGGTACTTCTTTCCGAAACCTAAACAAGTATCGGTTGAAGACGGAAGTAACCTGTTGAGATTTTTCCCATCATGCACTGCGACGCCCAAGTCGACGATAAGAAGCCTTTTTCTGTTATCAGTAACCAAATTGAGCATGGAACAGAGTCCTTTACTTCAGAACGAAAGGTCTTTCGTCCTCTGAACCACAGTTCGACTCTGAAGCAGTCCACACCCTGAGGGTTTTCTCTAGGGGGATATGCAATATGCACGACTAGGCTCACTGATGCTCCAGAATGACCTCGGATAATATTAGTGCAAGAATAACCTACGTTAAGTGTCGTAAAGGAAAAACTTTGAAGCCTTATTTTGATATTATTTTGCCATCTACATCTAGGTCTTCGAGGTATTTATTTTCTTCGTGATCTGTGACTAAAGTCAAAGGCGTAACTAATTTTTCTCCTTTCACAATAATTCTAGCACGGAAATAAAAATCAAGGTTTAGTCCAAATCTGGTTCTGTTTTCTGTGTCCAGTGTTACTTAACAACAACAAAAAAGTACAATTATTTCTTACATGCTTTGGGCCATTTCAGGATAAGTTGCGACTTACCAGCGTAGTTGTAAGCAACTTTGTCCTTGGGTTCAGCTGAGTAGGACTCTCGTTCGGGCAATGGTGCGATGTGTCGCGCTATCAAAGGACTCTTGCTCGGATACTGACGATCAATGTCCGCCAGGCGATTGAGGTGGTCGTCCCAAGCCTTTTTTGCGTCGTACACAGGCGCTGAATGCACACCACAACACATTAAGCAACAAAACTAATCACCAATCGCCATTCGCGTATGTTCGCCAAAATTCTGCCGAGGCTCTGTAGACTCTGGAATTTTCTTACCGGGGTCATGACTCAAGTCTTGTAGCTAGACTACAGAACGAAACTAGGCCGTCGGTTTATCGGTATTACATCTTCAGATCCCCACACGTATCAATGACGAAAGGTACCACAAGAACTGTACTGGTCTAGCCATATTATGTATCTGAATATGTAAATGTCCCCTTCTTTATACAGCGACGAGTATGAAAATGGCTGTATTTTGGGTCGTCACGCCGTGTAGTGTCGTAGAAATTAGCCGACGTTTCAGAGGTAAGTACTGCCTCAATCAACAGGGCAATGCGAGGCAGTTAGCACTCTAAAAGTTCAGTAAACTTTTTTTTTCCAGATGACATGGCTCAACATCCTAAGAGGCAGTCATATTGACGATTGAATTTATTATAAATGTGTTAAAACATGCAGGTGACGCGGTAATTTTTCATAATTTGTTAGTGTAATTAATTCAGATGAACAAATTTTTCATAGATAAAATTACTATCGTTTCAAATGGCACGGTCCTTAGACACTCCTCGAAATTCTGCCTGCATATTTTCTTTCCCTTTAAAAAATAACTCAGACGGCACCCCCAGAAAACAAAAGTGAAAAAATATATGAGCCCTAAGTTTCACACATTCCGTACATTTTAATATGATGACGGTCGGATAAAATTACAAATTAATAGAAGGAAGATAAATATTTCTTTCTCTTACTTCATATATTTTTTTATTTATTTTATTTTTATTTTCCTGCAACTGTTTACGCCTCTGTTAAAAAAATAAATAGAACACAAACATCG